AATTGTGACTTGAAAGCATATCAACCAAAGCTTCTTTCAATGCAATAGTTGTACAACTCTGAATATGCTGAAGTCCAAGAAATCTCTCCACCATTTGCCCTTTATCATTCACAAATCTGCACAATACATTTTTTATATGTTAGTATAATTGTAGAAATAATTGTAATAAAATCTATGCACAAAATAAGCTCTGACCAAAATTGCAATTGTGGAGTATTGACCTTAGAATGACTGCCATTTACTCTTTTATTGATATATCCCGGGACTCATCAATAAGCACTGAGAATTTTCTACCTCGAATCTCATCCATACTGACAGCTGTGACTTCCTCTGCACAAGCTTTTGCAAGATCCTTTTGTATATCTGAAGATATCATCTGGCAATTTTTAGAACCTTTTTCATATGCATCATTGACTATATTTACCTTATCTTTATACCAATCAACCATATCTCTGAACATACCCTTGTTGAGGGAAGTACAACTCTCATCATCTCCACGAAAAGGTTGCCCTTGATATATAAGAAATCTTGCAACATCTAAAGATGATGTTAGACGAATCTCATATCGCTTTTCTTCCTCCATGCTTACCTCAACTATTCTTCGACCCACACTAGTCCTTTGGTTCATAAAATCATCACACTTTAGTCTAGCCTCTGTATGATTCTTGGAAGCATTGTGCTTCTGAAAAGTATCCTTAGCATTCTTCCAATTTATATAACCTTGATGTGCAAAGACAGAACTCCCAAATTTTTCAGGCTTTCCCGAATTAAAGAAAAGATAGCAATATAAGCAAAAAACGGCATCCTTGGACTCACTATACTCTAGCCAATCAAATTCATCAAACCAAGACTTTTGAAACGTTCTCCATTGATCAACCATCCATTTAGAAGGAAATTTAAATTCATGAGGTTGGGTTGGACCACTCAAAGCATATGCTCTCTTTAATTGGTCTCTAATTGCTGGATCATAAGAATCAATTGGTTTGCGTTGTGCAGGGTCAGCAATTAAGTTTGAATGACTAAACTCTTCCCTCAGTTTCTTTGGTTGACTTGTGCTCTCATTAGTATGTGGAGTTTAGCCACTGCCACTGCCACTTGCACTTGAATAGTAGTTCATCAAAGTTCTTTTCGACATACTGAAAATCTAAAAAATTGAAATATATCATAATCAAACATTCAACACACATCATGGACTGCGTACTCAATTTTACAGTTTAAAATGACCCTTAAAAATCACCTACCTTTCTGTTGCTTTGGCGATGCTGCCGCTTTGCCTCCAAACTCAGAGCTTCAGAACACAGACGTCATGTCGCTTGGCTAAGCATCGCCCCACCACCTTGCGTGAAGTCACGTCCTTGCCTACGGCTGGCCTCCTCGGCTCCCCGCCATTTCCAAGAAGAAGCGCACCCTGGCCATTGGGCAAGGGCAAGGCAGCGCGTACAGCCGCCGTGCGTCACCCCGCCAAGCCGTTGAAGAAGATGCAATGACGAAGGAAGAGGAAGCCACCGCCGCCGCTAGAGTGTCAGTTAAGAGGAGTCGGGACGGGAGGGAAGGATGCGGTGACGATGGTACCCCGTACCTAATAGGGTTTGTTTCACGATTGGATTTGGGCCTGTGTTGTGATGTTCTGTCTCTATGAAGGCCCAATAACTAAAAGAGCCATTTTTTCATTTCTAAAAGATTTTAGCCCTTCCTAATCCATATAATTAGGCAAAAAAATTAAGGTGGGGCTGAGGAGGGGCTCCATGTTCCCTCGATCGATAGCCCGGGCTGAAGCCCTGGTAGCACGGGCGCCGGCTCCGTCGCTGCCACGTATAATAATCATGTAATGCCATCCTGATTCCTGATTTCCCGAGGTGGGCTAAAGTTGTGGATTACGCTTAGGGCGGTGGGTTCAGGCTTTACTAAGGCCCCGACAGTTCTTGGGCTTGATTTAGGCCTATATTGGCTGTTTGGGCTTTTCTAATTCAAAAAGCTTGGTTAGGTTTAGGGCCTTTGACGTTGGAACGCCAGAATTGAGAGAAATTGTATCATCGGCCGATATGAGTTGTTCTAACTCGAATGCACGACTCATGAAGATCACATATGAGATACGAAGGACACAACCTAATATGTCTTGAAATCGAACTCTGTATCGATCATCGATAGACCCGACTTATTCTAACTTCTAACTCATATGAGCTAAAATCATGTGAGTCCGGATCATATACGACGCACATAAGAGTATATAGGTGTAGTTTGGAAAGTAAAAAAAAATGGAACGGAAGAAACTCTCCACTGTTTCAGAAGTAAAAGAAACCACCGTTGAACGATACCTAAACAACATCTAGATAGGTCGGCTGCTCCACTTTTGCCTAATTTCGGTTGGTCTGCTCTACTGCTACAGTGCTCGAATTAGCCCATATCAGCAAGCCGAACGAGCTAATCATCCTCGTCACGCCAAGCCAGTAATGACCTTGCAATGGCTCCTCCCACGACGGTCCTCCACTATCGTATCTAGCGAGATACCCGCCGTTAGGTAATGCTGCCCCTCGCTATCACTAGCTGAAGACGGAGAAACATCGTCCAGAAAGACCTACACTATCAAGTGTGTAGCTGTTTAGCCTATCATAACAAAAATCTCACACTCGTTAGGCACAGCTCAGCTTCACTATTGAAGCATAGTTTTTTTTGCTTTAGGTTTACGAGTAGCTTTACCGATAGGAGGTGAACCTGTTTTGATTAATCATTTGACAAAACAACTCTATATGGTTCCTTAAAATATACTCTTACAACACACAAGGGCTCATAGAGCAAGTTGAAGCTAGAAGAATTATTTTTAGCTTCGTCCCACGTCAATCCCTTTGTGAGAGCTTGTTTTTAATGAGCTTCACATGTGAAGCTGCCTTAAAAATACCCGTTTAGCACAAAACAACTTTAAACAACTCGTGAAGCTGCCTAAAAGTTCGCTACTCTTTTCCTTCCAAATAGTAAGTTGTTTTAACTTTTCTACGTAGATTTTGCTACATATGTAGATATACATTCTGTCTAGATACATAATAAAAAAAACTATGTACGTAGAAAAACATGAACGATTTATATACCATTTAGGATTGAGAGATACAGTCGGAGAACATCGCAACTTTTTTACAATAAAAAATACTCTGGTGAGCGCGTCCGTCAGACGCCTCCCGTCCCAACCTTCTTCCCAGGCCTGCCGATTGGCACAACAGACCTCCTACCGTCTACCTTCATTCCTTCACTAATAAAAAAAATACAGAGCGACATTCTCCATCTTGCATCGGCTGTCGTAGCGTTCCCCACCACCGCGGGCGCCTCCACCGCGCTGTCCCGCCCACTCCCGTGCTTTGCTCTGCTTCGCCGTCGACGGTCACCCCGCGCTGCTCTTGCTCATGCTCCGCCGCTCCTGTCGTGTGCTCCGCTGCCTGCCCCGCCACATGGCGTGAGCACCGCCGCGCCCACGCTGCATCTGCCAGGTGGTCACTTAGGCTGCTACGCACGTGCTCACATCCGACGACGCCGACAAGCACCGACAGCGCAAGGAGAAGCGTTGAACCCTAGCACGGAAGCCCTTCGACCTCGCCTTCTGCTATGGCTGCAGCGCCCCAATACAAACGGCAGAGGAGGCCGCATCGGGATACAATGCATGTTTCAAGCGTACATTTCAAACGTTTTAGATATTTTAGAGCTATATGTTGTAAGTGTTTTATACGGGTGTTGCAAAAAGTAGATCAGGATGTTGCATACTCCCTCCATCCCTAGATGTCTATCGTTTTCGCTTCCTGAGAAACAACTTTGACTAAATATATATTAAAAATATTAATATTTATGATACATAATTAGTATCATTGGATAGGTATTTGAATCTAGTTTTTTAATAAATTTATTTAGAGATAGAAATATTGCACACATTTTCTATAAATCGAGTCAAAGTTATCGGCACGCAAATCGTGATGACTAATATTTAGGGACGGAGGGAGTATGTTGCAATGGTTGGACGAGTATGTTGCAAGCGTCTGTCTCCAATGTTTTATCTGTTTTTCAGCGTATGTTGCAAGTGTGTTTATTTGGATGGTGCATATGTTTCACACATATGTTGCAAGTGTTTTATCTGGATGTTACCTTATGTTGCAAGTGTATTTATCTGGATGGTGTATATGTTTCACATATATGTTGCACCTACTTTATCTGGATGTTGCGTATGTTTGTAATGTTTTTCAAGTGTTTTTTTAATGTTTCAGACGCATGTTTTCTAGCGTTTTATCTAGATATTCTGAAAATAAATCGGTGTCACACGTGAGATGCGCGTGGGAAATGAGGGGGGGGCACGAGCGGTCCGTACACGGGCACGTGGCGGGGGCCACCGCGTGGGCGCGAGTGGCAGGCGCAGTCGAGCGATGTCCGGACAAGGCCCACGCGTGGACGCGCGAAAATAGAGTGCAGCCGTCGAGGCGTAGCAGTTCTGTTTTACAATTGTATAAAAATAGTAGGAGGCATGTCCAAAACCTAAGGTTCCTCCGGCACGCGCATCACGGAAAACCGACACGAGTACACGACGGCCGGCTGCGGTGCGGAGCGGATCCAGGCCCAGGCCAAGGGAGGAGGAGAGGAATCGTCCGCACCTCCACCCGTCTGGAACGAACTGCCAGGTCCGTCCGGATCCAGATTCGCACTTGGCACCACCCCCGGCGCCGCGGCGCGACCGGCCGGGCCCGCGCCACGAGGATCCGCCTGACTCACCCGCTCCCCTCGTGAAGTCGTGAGAACTGCAAAACCACCGGCCGTATAACAGTCGGACTGCCAACACAACAAACCCCTCCCGAGTCCCGACCGCACTCAAATGGTCAGTCCCCTCCCCCTCCCCCTCCGTGTCCATTGCCCAACTCCACCACGCCTCTCGCGCCCGCCGCCCCACCACCACCACCCCCGCCCGCGCTCAGGTAACCGCCTCATCGTCATCGGCCCCCGCAATCTCGGCCTCATCTTATCTACCCGTCGCCATGGACCAGCGGCACACGGGTTTGCTGAGTCGTGACAGCGGTTTTCTTCTTTGCCCCCTCTGCAGGGAGAGCGGGTCTGCTGGGTTGCCTACAGGCGAAAGGCGCCGCGCAGATGGGCTCGTCGTCGGAGCCGCTGTCGAGGGGCCTGTACGCGCAAGTCGAGCCGTACGACTCCGGGTTCCTCAAGGTCTCCGATGTCCACACCATCTACTACGAGCAGTCCGGAAACCCGCAGGGCCATGTGAGCGTCTAATTCCTCTCTTTGTCTGTAATTCCTTGAATTTGATATATCGGAGAATTTTGATAACCCAGTTCGATAAGCCTCGTACACCCAGCGAAGAATTTGCTAGAACTGTATGTTGCTCTGCCCTTACGAGATCCCGTCAATTTTGCAGCCCGTGGTGTTTCTCCACGGGGGTCCCGGAGCCGGCACGTCGCCCGGCAACAGGAGGTTCTTTGACCCGGAGTTCTACAGGATCGTTCTGTTTGACCAGGTTATCTTGGTGACTCGTGTCATTTTTTTAATCATAACCAAAAGGGGGGGTTGTGTGTTGTTCTTGATCTGTGTCGTGGTTTGATTGCAGAGGGGTGCAGGCAGAAGCACTCCCCATGCTTGTTTAGAGCAGAACACTACTTGGGACTTGGTAGCTGACATTGAGAAGCTCAGGGAGCATCTTGACATCCCGGAATGGCAGGCAATCATCTTCTTCTTTTTTCGACAACATTGATTACTCACTCTTCAGTGCTGGGACTCAATGATGCCGGACAATGTAGGTGTTTGGTGGTTCATGGGGAAGCACCTTGGCACTTGCCTACAGCCAGGAGCACCCTGATAAGGTGATTGATTTTGTTGTCAGATGTATTCTGTACTGAGCATGAAGCTCTTATAGCAAATAATTGTGCATCAAAACCATGTTGTAGATCTCACTAACACTCCCTGGATGCTCACTAGGTCACTGGCCTTGTTCTGAGAGGAATTTTCTTGCTTAGGAAAAAGGAGCTCGATTGGTTCTATGAGGGTGGTGCAGCAGCCATTTTCCCAGATGGTTTGTATGTTTTTTGTTTTATGTTCTATAAACCGAAAAAACCTTCCCTAAACATTGCCATACCAAGTATTTCGTCAATGTTCCATAATGGTACTGGGCTACTGGCAACTTATATTAACTATGTTAAATCTGTTTCAGCAATTATAGTTGAATTTAAATGACATATTGTTAATGCAATGTGTTCTAATTTTCTCTATTAAAATCATTTTACTTTCTGGGTTTATGAAAGAAAAACCACCTATGTACCATTTTTTTTTTTTTGTTTTGAGTACACTAACAACTTTAGTTTTAAATCTGCAGCATGGGAACCATTTAGAGATTTTATTCCCGAGGATGAAAGGAATTGTTTCATAGATGCGTATAACAAAAGGTTAACTTCATCTGATCCTATTGTTCAGGTAGCCCCACATTTTTCCTTATGAAAGTAAATACATTATGATATATTTTTGGTGCCTTCTCGTAGCTTTTTTTTGTATCATTACTTAAAAGGCAAAATTCTGGTGGTCTCGCACTTATTATTTTTAATAAACATACATTTTCCTTTTCCCAATTAGGTTGAAGCTGCTAAGCGCTGGACGATGTGGGAGATGATGACTGCGCATCTTATCCAAAACAATGATAACATTAAACGAGGAGAAGATGACAACTTTTCACTGGCAAGTCCTCTCACACAAGCATTGTACTTTTCTTTGTAACACTAGCACTATTTCAATTTCTTATTTTCTTTTGTTTCCCCTGCTTAGCTGTATTTTTTTTTCTTGTTTTCATTCTGATTTTAGCTCTGTACAGAAATCGTAAGAAGAATGCCTTCTAAGGGACCTGCAGCGTTTTTCTTGAACTCTATATATATTCTCAATATTACTCTGGACTTAAAATAGCAACAATAAGCAATCATTGTATAAGCACAATTTGGAAAACCTACTCCCTAGTGCTAATAAACTGTTGCCACCGAGAGCTGTAGAACTCTGCATTGAGTCCTAGAGCAGCTTCCAGGTTGCAGAGAAGTGATTCTTTGTTGATTTCATGAAGGGATTTCTGAAATGAACTTGGAGACTAGGAGTTGGAAAAAAAAGTAGCTTCTTGTTCACTTCAGGCACATAATCACTTTCTACATATAATTTATCCTAGAGAAACACTTTCAACCATAGAATCACTTCTCTTAGAGAATCACTTCCCCCAGAGAACAGGCCTAAAGCTACAAAGACCAACATATTTTTTTGCAAGACATGTTTTAATCGACACTTTTATGATTTATGCGGTCAGATTACATATTCTCTTATATTTGCTGATGCACAGCTTAATGTTTTTTTTCAGGCATTTGCAAGGATTGAAAATCACTATTTTGTGAATAAGGGATTTTTACCCTCGGACTCATTCCTATTGGACAATGTTGATAAGATCCGACATATTAAAGCTTTTATTGTACAGGTATGCTTGTCAATGAGGTTTGTTGTTTTCACAACGTCCATGTGCATCTGGCGTCTGCTAGAAGCCAAAACATCTTATAATTTCAAATTGAGGGAGTAGATATTATATTTCACAAATCAAGTTGTGCATTGCTTTTAGCTCTTCATGCCTACCTTTAGTTGTCATTGTACTTTTTGTCAAGCATGTTGTTTTTGTTATTGTCTTGCATGGTTGCCTGGATAATTTGGAACTCCAATTCATGATAGATATCAAATTGGTAAAATATAAGCTTGCTTGCGCCTTAGCACTTTATGTTGCAGGGACGATATGATGTTTGTTGCCCTATGATATCTGCTTGGGATCTTCATAAGGCTTGGCCTGAAGCAGAATTCAAGGTAAAATGATCTTCCAGTCATTCCTCCAACTACTATCTATGATATTCATGTCGGAACTGCGATTTAATAGGATTGTTATATTGAAGCACCAAAATAGTTTTTTAAGAGTTTGGGTTGTGAATGAACCAGTGGCGGAAATTGGTGTCATACTGTCATCAATTGTTTTCTCGTCATCGACATAAGACATCGTCAAGCAATGACGATCTTTTGAATTCACATATAAGAATATTTTGTAGTATATGGCTACCAAACTGAAGCAGGAAGACATGGTGCGTTTTGTACGTAGTGTGTAGCACTGAGTAGTTATAGACATGTCTATTTGACTCAGATTTGCCATGACTAATCATGCATAGAACATGTTTGGCTTGCTTTGACAAAGAGAGAACATGCTATGAGGGATGCAATTGGGTTGGCCTTGTGAACCCGCATATAGGCCACATGATATTTTGCTTAGATGGCTGCAAAGAATCACGTTTGGTAGAACTGACATTTTTTCCCTTTCATGGAGCCTAATATTCAGAAAGGACCTTGGTAAATTCACCAGATTTTTTTTAGAATTATGCCGCAACATCGATAATTTTTGACTGCCTATAATTCCTTCACTGGATGCAGGTGGTACCGGACGCAGGGCACTCGGCCAATGAAGTAGGCATTGCTGCCGAACTGAGGTCAGCCACCGAAAAGCTGAGAGACTTGTTGCGCAAATGAGCTGGCGAAAGACAAGTTGCACCTCCATCTGTTGATGAAATTCAGGGGCTCCGAATAATTACATGGCCGCAACGGTTAGCAGAGCCTGATTGTAATGTGCCATTAAACAATGTCATTGTCACCGTCAAAGACCCCTTTCACAATCAGAGTAGCTTGTGTTGTTTGTTGGCTCGCTGGAGTGTCTGAGGAATTGATTGAAATTTCAAGATTGGGCCAGAATGTGACGATGCCGCAACCTGAGCATACGTTTGAATTGATCGTAAACATATACGGTTTACCCCCATCTAGTTTCACCTGCTGATAAACTCACAGAATCAGTAGCAAAGCAACGACAGTAAACATTCACGGTGCAGAACACACTCAAGCTTACTTGTATCTTAGTTATACCGCATCTCTCTCGGAGGACATTACAGTTACAGCAGTCCTCGTCTAGCAAACTTCTTACATAACACAGCAGAGTAAAGGTCAGTGCTTGAAGAGCCTGACGCACTAAGTCTAAAAACCAAAGCATACAGCAGATGAGCTACGGAAAACAAAAGCAGCAGTCATCCACGCGGTCCCATTCTATAGCAAATTAACTTGCCAGTTGCCACAACATACACACCATGCATCACGCCTTCACCTCCTTCCAGTTCAGTGTTCTAAGTCTCCTAAGCAGCACACGTGCTGCCACACATAAGGTTCCTGCGGGCAAGACACAAAAAAGTTACAAAAGTCGTTCCAAATTTTTTATTTAAGTTTGAACAGAAGTAGATGAACCAGACTCCTTCTTGACATAATAGTAGGTATATGCTGGGTTTTCTGATAAATTGACCAATGGTCTGCACATTCTCGAGTCTTACAAATGGATTTTAGAGTTTCGCTGGATTGTAATCACTATTAACAGACTACTACTATCATCATACGATCAACTAGTACACAGTGGAAAGACGAAGCTTACATTATGGAGCATCCGGAGCCACGCCTGTTTTTCTTCCTGGCAGGCATTGCCTCCCTTCTCCGTGGGGGTTGAAGGACCACTTTAATGGCTGTATCGAAGACAGACTTGACATTCTAGTATGGCCAACATATAATCAAACAAAAAGTCAGTAAATTTGTCTATTACCAACAATCCATCCGTGTCTAATTTTAATTAACCAAACAGCAAACCATATTTGAATTTTGAAACAGGAAATAACCGATCAAAATCACTCCAGATGGGTCATGACTACCTGCTGGGTTTTGGAACTGCACTCGATGTAAGCTGCAGCACCAATCTGCTTCCTCAGTTCTTCACCCTGCATAAAAAGAGGAAGAGGAATTAGGAGAAATCGCATCGCACTTCTGATAACTATTTGCTGGTAAGATATGGCATTCAGCATTGAAACTAGGTAGACTATGAAAGAGCAAACCTGTGCCGTCGTGATTGTCGAAGCTCCAGGATGGTCAGCAAGGTAGGCCCTGTGGTCACGGAGATCTGGACAGTCCAACCAAATTCCTTAATTAGCTATTGGAACTTGGAAGAACAATCACACGGACGAATATATGTGGCATTAAAGTCCATGAATTAAGGTGACATTCAGCACACTTCCTCACCAAACTTGGTCCCAACAAGAACAACCGGAACGTTGGGCGCAAATCGGCGAAGCTCTGGCATCCACTGTTTGTTCAGAAATAGAATGATCAGTTCATAGTGCTCCAGCCATCATAACCACATTCTGAAAAGCAGAAATTGCTAGGTACATTGGCCAAAGGTGAAAAATCACAAGAAGAGGGGAAAAAAAGCTCCACCGCAGCTACTTTGGGCAGTATTGCTATTATCATGTGTCAGAGATTTAGATATCTGAAATGTATACTGGAATTTCATGTTTTCCTGACTGGATCATCTCCCTACACAGGCACTTGCACTAGAAACAATTGAAGCACATGTTGATCCTATCAGCATACCTTCTTAAGAACATTCTCATAGCTGGCCCTGCTGATCAGGGAGAAAGCCAGCACGAACACATCTGCGCCCCTGTAGCTCAGCGGCCGCAGCCTGCTGTAGTCCTCTTGCCCTGAACGAAACAGAGAAGGAAGGGGACAATCTCAGACTCTGCGCGCCTGTAAACCATTTTAGCCGTGAGAGCGGAAGAAAGAAACAGCAGTACCCGCAGTGTCCCAGAGGCCCAGGTTGACGATGTTGCCATCCACGGAGACGTTGGCGCTGAAGTTGTCGAACACCGTGGGGATGTAATCCTGTCAGGAACCACACGAACAGAGCGCCGTCAGTTTCAGGAAAGCCGAGAACGGGATGCACATCGCGAGCTGACGATCCCCATTCCCTTTCCTCGCAGGGAAGGGACAGCCGGACAGGAGCAGATGGTGACTGGTGTACTGCTAATGCTGGAAAGCATCATGGAACTACTGCTAGCTTGGATTGAAAAACAAACTGTAAAAAAATGCCTTGCATTTATGTAGTGGAAGGTGAGAAGAAACGAGCCAAATAGATGGGAAACCAAATCGAGCAGGATAGGGATTGGTCATGAATCACGAGGCCGACGAGATGGGCGTGGCGAAGGATGCGTCGGCGTACCGTGGGGAACTTGTTGCTGGTGTAGCAGATGAGCATGCAGGTCTTGCCCACGGCGCCGTCCCCGACCGTGACGCACTTGATGAACTTGGTCACGCTCATCTCTCCCCGCCCCGGCCTTCTTCTCCCGCTCCGGCTGCGGCCCTCCGCCCTCGCCTCACACTCTCACTCACAGTACGAACAGGGAGCACAGCAGCAGCTAGTGGCTCCGAGAAGCAGCAAGCGAGCAGGAAGGGACAGAGACAGAGACAAGGGACAAGGCAGGCCACTCACCTCACCTCGCTCCACTCCACGCCACGCCAAAACAAAGCAAGACAGAGACAGGCAAGGGCAAGGCAAAGGCACCGCACCGGTACCGGCCTGCCGCCGCCTTAAAGAACTCGCCGCTCGCAGCTGGCTGCTGCCTGGCCTGGCTGTGCGCCCTGCTAGCTGCTGCTACCGCTGGCCTAGGGAGGCGTGGTGTAAATGCGAGGCCGCAGGACAGGGAGGCAGGGCCGAGGGCCGGTCAAGATTTCAAGAAGGGTGTTGTTTGATTGGTGTTACGAATCAGTATTTGTTACTATAATTATTGTTTAATCATAGTCTAACTAGGTTTAAAAAATTCGTCTCGTAATTTATAATTAAACTGTATAATTAATTATTTTTTTATCTACATTTAATACTCCATATATATGTCAAAGATTTAATGTGATGGAGAGAAAGTGAAAAAAGTTACGATCTAAACGAGGCCAAAGGTCGCTTGCCGCAAGTGCCCTTCTCCTGAGGACAGGGCCGCCCCCGGCCAGGCCAGACGAGCTGACAGCTCTGCATCTGCTGACACACACCGGTGCTACCACTGTTCCTTGTCGTGATTACCCTAGATTGCTTGCCCTCGTGTTAGACGGTCTCCGTACGCGACCCAAAATACAAACACTCGTTTATCCTTTGATTGTTTGATTGTGTTATAGTAAAAGGTTCAATATTTATTTTTGTCTTTTTCAATAACAAGACACAAAAGACAATTTTTTCTGTAAATAGGTCTTCAGGAGAGAGTTGTCGGTGTTTCGAGTTACCACCAACGAATAAATTTATAGTATTGCACGTCTGACACGGATGGTGCGTTTAGAGGACATGATGTTTATATTGGTTCGGACAGAATATTCCTACGTCTAGTTCGTCGCTGCTGCTCGTGTTATTAGCACTGAAAGTTTATAGTATGTGTTACAAACGGGTGAGAGAGAGACATGTCCCAAGTCTCTGGTGGAAATAATAAACGGGTGCCGAGAGCTCGGTTGTTGCTCAGTCGTGTGCTTGTGTTCTGTTCTTATCGGTTTGAGGTTTGATGGGTTCGTGATGGTTCGATCTGGTCTGGCCTGAATCGATCGAGTCCAGTCCCCCTCTATGGGACGCTCTGCTTTCTCTTTTATAGACCAAAGGAAAGCACGGGTTACAGCGAAGGAAAAGAGAAGAAACGAGAGGGAGAAGACGGCCTTCAGGATCACAGGGTCTTTATCCTTTATGCGGGTCCCGCCGACCCTATAGATGTCAATAGGGACAGCTCCACGTCACGGCCCCGTCCGCCACTAGCGCCACGCGCAGGCATCGTCTGCCAGTTATGGCGTTTCATTCCGTCGCAGCGGACGTCGTGGTGAGCTGATGCGCCTGCCAGTGTTTATACGGGGGTGAGGCAGAACAGCACCGGTACGCCTGATGCTGTTATTGATGTGAACCCTCCGGTATGGCCCTCCGTGGCCACGGGTTATATCGGGGCGTGCCGATCTCTTCCTTAGTGTCAGAGCTTTGACCCAGGCCCATACGTTTGGACCTGGAGTGGTTGGCGGTGGCATGGGTCTCTATCGGGCGAGACGGAGTCCGTGGCCTTAGAGTCGGGCGAGGCGGAGCTTGCGCGCCTAGGGTCGATTGGAGCTGTAGTCGCGCTCTTGACTGCTCGGATGAATTAATGTTGGTGGTCATTAGCTCCTCCTCTTCGAGTAACCTAGTATTGGTCCTCGACAAGAGGATACTTATATTTGGATTATATCTCTTCTAGCATTTAAAATAGGTCTTCTATATCGGTACTATGTTGGAGACTATGTATATTACGTTAGAGACCTATTTTAGATTTGATTTCTGCAGTAAATCTGCTGTTGGAGACCGCCAGTATCTAATCAACGCGTCCTGTGCGGGAGTAGAGTATCGCTGCACTCCACGACACGATCACGAATCGAGAGGACACGGCACGCCCGTACTACTCGGGTCTCCCTTTGTTGTGCTACACGTGAAAGAGCGGAATATTCAAATTTCTTACTAGTACTAGTAGTAAATGTAGAGTACTCCGTAAGCTTAGCTTTACACGAAAAGCGTTCAAATTTGCTGCGCTCGAGAGCTTCAACGTTCAAATCTGGGGGAGCGTTTTATTCCCCCCGAAGGAAAGCGAAAAGAGTCAAAAAAGAAAGGAGCCCGACGCTGCCTTTTGCCTTGCCTCGCCTGAAAGCGAAAAGATTCAAACCCGAACTCCAGCGGAAGTGAGGGGCTGCGGGCCCCACACCACACCGGTCGCCGGCCCAGCCGACGAGGAGTCCCCTTGCCCCGGCACGCGGAGCGGGGTCGGGGATCCTGTCTCCTCGTCGGCGTCGCTCGCCTCAAAGCCAAGCTAATCGACCAGTGACCTGTGGGGCCCCACGTGCCAGTGACGGTATCCTTTCCGTTCCCTCCCTGCTGCTGGTGCGCTCCCCGAGCTGGACTGGAGAGCAAGGCAAGCAGCCCGAGCTCGGCTCGCCGGCTCGGTCGTACGAGCCTCGACCGACGGACTCTCTACGGACTACTACGGCTCTAGCAGGTCTACGGATAGCCGGTTTTATAGGAGTAGAATTAAATGCGCGAATATCCGTCTCAAAAATGAAAAGCAACGACTGATCTACCGGGAGGTGATGCCTGCCAGTCACTGACAGGACGGGGACGCGGCGCGCTGGACCCGCAGGAAGTGGGGTGGAGTTGGTGAAGGAGCGGCGGGTTTGCTGTCCGGTACGGTGCGTCGGTGCGGAATTTGAATGCGCAGCGGCCTGGGCGGGTGCGAGCGAGCCTGCGCGACTGACCGGGAAGTGGCCGCTGGACGAATCCAAACAAATTTCCGGCCGGGCGACTTCGGATTTGGGTGGCTCCGCTACGCATTGTAGGCCCAAGTGAGGGGAGCCCGTCTTTGGGTGGGCCGTGTTCACCATGTGGGCTCCGGGTTGGGCTTCTACGGTCGGAATGCCTGCTGTGCAGCGCCGGATACAGCTTCCCGGCTGCTGCTTGCTCCATCTTTTCTGCAGCGTCAAGTTAGCTTGATTAGACGACGACCGATCCAGATGCGCTGCAGCTGCCCAACAAGTTCAAGACAAGTCTTACCGACGACAAGCCGCTGATGGTGGTCCCAACTGAACAGGAGTTCCACCTGCAAGTGATAACACGGGTATTCTCCCGTCGCATTTGGTTCCACAGCGTTTTCTTTACAGCGCTTTGCTTTCAGTTAACGTATGTGGTTTGTTTGCGTCTTCGTACTCCTCAGATCTCATCTCAGTGACAGGTCGGCCCCACCAACCAGCAAAACAAAACTACTCCCATGCTTCCTCCCCGCCGCGGCGCGCGACCAAATGCCGCTGCTCCCTTGGCACCACCGCCGCGCGCCCCCGCGCCGCGGAGTCGGACGGCGTCGACCGCTCCGTGGCGGCGTCGCCGACCTCGCCTCGTGTCTCGCGGGGTGCCTCCTCCTCCTCCTCGTCGTCGCGGCCGCGGCGGTGCTCTGCCTCTCCTCCCCGTCCTCCCGCGCGCGCTCCCGTGGCCACCACGAGGATGGTGGCAGCCGCGGGTGCGGGATCGTGCCCGGCGGCAGCGGAGCGACGACACCGAGGGTCACGATCTTCTCTGCGCCGCGCCCGCCGCCGGAGGGCTCGCCAGCGCGGCAGGAGCTGGCGGTGCGCTCCTGGCTGGCGCTCCCGGGGAACGTCAGTGTCGTGCTCCTAGGCGCCGGCCCCGAGGCCGTCGCGCTCGCCGCGCGGCTCGGGCACCGGGTCACCGTCGATGCCGCCATTGATTTTGCGTACGCACTCACAAGACCCTTTACCTTATCATCATCTTTTACGTAAGCCAAGATCAGCTCGCCGCTCTAGCCCGTTTGTTCAGAGACTTCAGTTGCAGTCTTCATCCTTGGTTGGTTCAGGTTCACGGGGACGCCATTCTTCCACTCGATGGTCGCAAGAGCACAAGCTGCCACCGACACCGACATTTGCGTTCTTTTCGACGCTGAGATCGTCCTTCTTCCCGAAATTATCAACGTATTGGCTCGTTTCAGCAAGGTTGATGCTGATTGGTTCCTTGTTTCTCTGTCACGTAACGTCACCGATTTCCATTACCAGCTCGCTGACAATGGAAGCCATTGGGTACAAGCAGATGGCAAAGAAGCGAGCTTCAAGAAGGTACCTTTTCGTCTATCTAAAACCAACGCTACACATGCATTCCCAGATGTTCTATACTTGTAATTATTGACCAATTATTATCCGCATGCATTAGTTGCAGGAGATTCCAGCTGACAAGTGGGCATCAGAGAGCTATGACAGAGGGCTGATTGTGGCTTGGAACAATCCAAGCAGTACTTTACATGCAGGAGTTCTGCCTTCTTTTCTCTATGGAAGAGGAGTACACAATCGGTGGCTGGCTCACGAGGTTCTATCGTCTGAGATGAGGCTTTTCTTTGATGCAAGCAGTCTGGTTCTTGGAAGTCTTAGCTCCATGCATGAGCTGACCTCGAGTAAGATTGGCAGATTACCTTCTGGATCCTGGGAGTACAGCGTCAATCGTCATCTTGCTGCGATTTATGGCTCGTATTGCTGTCAAGTACCAGCAAGACACTTTCCTATGCTACATAAAGTGGTAAAGCAATCTGAAGATTATATGCTCAGCAAAGTTGACGAGCTTTCATTATCAGATTTTTTCATCACTAAAGAAGGAAATGCCCATGGAGGAAATAACCTATGGAAGATACAAAACATTTCTTTATCTGGATATCTACAGAGCTATTCTTCTGAGACCTCAGCACCTGAGCTTCCATATTATTTGGGTATGCTACTTGAGCTTGTCGCTGATAAGAATAGGTCCGTTGTCCTTGGTGTGGCTGGAGCAAGTTACAGGGACATGCTCATGAGTTGGGCGTGCCGCTTGCATCATCTTAGAGTTACCAATTTTATAGTATGTGCCTTAGACCATGAGACATATGAATTCTCAATTTTACAGGTAATCATTTTCAGTCACCTCCTTTTCTCTCCTCCTCTCTGTTATTTAACCTTTTTTATACTTTGTAAACCACAGACTACCTCAAGCTTGTAATTCGAATTCTAGGGTTTGCCTGTTTTCATAGATCCATTATCACCAAAGAATGTCAGCATTGATGACTGCCACTTTGGAACAAAGTGTTTTCAACAAGTGACAAAAGTGAAATCACGGATTGTTTTGGAGATATTAAGACTGGGATACAATGTGCTGTTGAGCGATGTTGATGTTTATTGGTTTGACAATCCAGTGCCATTACTGTACTCTCTTGGTCCTGCTACATTTGGAGCACAATCTGATGAATACAATGAGACAGGTAAAGTTTGGATCATATTACTAGTTACTACAATTTTCTCATGTTTCTTCCTATTTTCTTCTCTTCATAATGCGCACCTACATCTGGCATTACGTCAAATCCATCTATAAACAAGAGTTAATTTCATTTACATGACACAAAGTTCCTAAAAATGTTTATGTGACAAACTTTTACCTAGAAATGAAAATATGGCATAGCCATACTGAATAGATAGAAAGAAATATGCTAGACCAGGCCTGTTGATTCTTTAAACTAAGCACCCTGCTATTTGTTGTTGCATCTCATTATTGTTGTTTCTTTACAGGACCAATAAATTTGCCACGCCGATTGAATTCAGGATTTTACTTTGCTCGCTCAGACAACGCCACCATCACTGCAATGGAGATGATAGTAGAACATGCAACCAATTCAGGCTTATCTGAGCAACCGAGTTTCTATGATGTCTTGTGTGGGGAAAACGGAACAAACCGCATCAGCAACGACAAATGCTTGGAGCCCAACACAAACCTGACTGTTGTGTTCCTGAACCAGGACTTGTTCCCTAATGGTGCTTACAAGGGTCTATGGGAGAAGCATGATGTACGGGCAACTTGCAAAGAGCTTGGCTGTTTCATCATTCACAACAATTGGATAAATAAGAGGAAAAATAAGCTCCACCGACAAATGTCATCTGGGCTGTGGGACTACGATCCTAGCTCTAGGCAGTGCTTGAAGGAATGGAGTGATAGAAGTATCTTCAGAATGATCGGGCAATTCCATCTGTTTGAGGACACTAACAGTTAGTGGCTTCCAACCATATATAACCGATGATATGTCATATCTTAATATGGAACGCCCATATTCATATATAGTATATGTGCACAAAGCTGAACCCTATTATATTCATATATAGTCTTTTTAGGCAGATGATATTCCTGTGCTAGAAAAGCAAAAAAATATTTGCCAATTTGAATATACATAAAGCGCAATTTTTAATACCTAGTAGACTGGTTAACTTACTAACCTTCATCCCATTTTAAATTCGCATATTATGTGATGGATTGATCAATTTTGATTTGTGAACCTTGTTTTATCCCACCATTTTAATTAAAGCCGCCGGGGTCTTTGTCCCACGGTTTCAGTTCAAAAAATATTTGATACTTCCATTCGACTTTCTGCAATTACAATCTAATAAAACCAGTAATTGGACGTTGTGTTTGCCTCCACCCTTCTGCAGTTCTGCGATTCCAATAAAACTAAGTTTCTGTAATTTTCAGAACAGAATAAGTAATTCAGCATTCAGTTCAGAGTCAACAGCTTTGTTTGGTGCACAAAATATGGCGGGGTGAAAGTAAAAGATGGAACTCTTTAAAGTCCAGATTTCCTTTGTCAAAGCTGATTATAGTTTCCCAAACAAAATGATAAAACACTTGCCATTTGCAGCTCATTGGAGCAATAAAATCAACAGGAAAAACACATAAAGTCGTTAATCACTTGTCCAATAATGACACACAGGTTTCTGATTGCAAAAGGTTGACAGCTTATTACAGTTCTGCATTGTGGAGATACGAGATCTCACTTCATCTTTGCTTCTGTAAACAGAACATGCTTGTTCACACGGGGATCGTACTTTCTAAATTCAAGCTTCTCAGTGATCCGCCGAGGATTCTTGCGCTTCACATAGAAGAATCCAGTGCCAGCTGCAGAAACCAGCCTGATGAAGATTGAAGCACGCTTTGCCTTCCCCATCAGTACTTATGAATTTGAACAAAAAGGAACTGAAAAGAGGGCAAACATAAGCATACAATCAGAATTCAGAGGTTAAATTCAAGGTTGCCATATTCAAGACAGACAATACAATGCACCAGGGAAACAGTAGAGCAAGCAAAATTTGTAAATGAGTTAGCAAATAGTAATAAATCCCAACGGATTATGTGGATAATTCAAAACCTACATATACACAGCAAAAAAAGCCTGGGATAAGATCAACCTAAAACAGTGAACCGTCCTACCGTATCCATAACCAAGCCCTGGGCATTCAATTAATACAGTTTTGAATTATCTTCACGCTATAGGATTGCCTTGAGTGAACTTGCTCCTGGGAATTACAAAACCAACCAACTTCGGTTTCGATTAAATCATATTGGTTAATCCCAAAATTCAGTCAGCAGGCAAACAGGCAATGCGTGATCTATTCATCCACCAGGCAACAAGCCAATAAAAATAGGAATCAGAACACAACTGATATGTGGTAAACTCATGAGGCATGGACATAGCCTAAGAGTTTCACACAATGACAAGTACTTAAATAAATACATTAATATCTCACGGGTTCACACTAACATAGTAACATCACAGATCACAGCTCAATAGTTCAGGAGTACAGTTTCAAACATCATAGTTCACACGACAGTAGGAGATAGTTCACAGGACAAATTCTTAAATACAAACTCTCTGTATCCTCCATCAACAAATCCAGTGGCAAACCAAGTGATTAACAAAAGAAATTCGCACCGTTGGATGGACATGAAGAGTGAACTCTGCAGCGCCGTTTTACCAGCCAGAGACATGGTGTAGCGGAGGCCCTCGCCTTCACCCGTGCGAACGTGCGGGGTTGCTGGGTGGCGGGCGTCAAGCTCGTGGCGGCGCAATCCGGTGACTAGCGTGCGCTAGAACGTGGAGGCAGGGCCATGACCATGCGTGCGCCTGCACCTGGCAGCAGAGGCTCGATCTGGAGATCAGCTGGCGGCTTGAGCTGCTAAGGAAGAGTTGGGTACAGTAGCTGCCGATTGGGGAGTGGCCGGGTGGGGTGGGGAGTTAGGGGTTCTATTGCAAAGCTGTGGACCTAAGGTGATTTGTGCACTCGACTGGCTCTACTTGGTGAAATCAGTCTGTTCGGTTAACTACAGCTGACAACTGACCCTACGATCACCAAATAGTCATAAAAATTCAACCGACTTATTAACCAATCGGTTCGATTAATCGGTTTTGGTGAAATTTTATCCAGGTCTACATAAGCCTTACTATCCTTCTTGAAATATAGATTACATAAGCATCTATGTACCTATCCATGTAGCACGGATATTGGGAGGAAATGGATAGGCACATACAGTACTTTCTCGAGAAATATTGCATCAGTATGTTTTATTTTTCCTTTTTATAAATAATACTACATTAGAGTAGGCATATCAAGATTCTAAAAGCAGTAGCAACATAGCAAGATTATTAATGGCCCAGTTTGGATCCATTGTGACTATATTAATCAGCTAAAATAATCTAATTATGATCCAAACAGGCTGGACTATAGGGTGGATTATTATAATCTAAAGACCAAATTACAATTATCCTATAATCCAGGTGAGACCTCATTTTTGGTGATTATAGGCATATCTCACTTTAACCAACAATAATTCACCAGAGAAATTGACAAACATGAAACATAGCAATCTAAAGTTCTATTACAGCGGGTTGTAAATTCTCAAATATAGGTAGTCTCAAATTCAGGAAATTAATGAATGGCATGATCCCATAGTGGAGCCTTAATGTCCGTTGTGCTCACAGATCCTACACTAGCACTAGCAGAAGTGCTAGCACTAGTCAAATTTGGAGATGCCATCTACTGGATACTGGATAGAAATAACAGTTAACACTAATCAGGAACAGGAAATTTGGCGATGCCATCTACTGGATAACACTAATTAGGAACAGGAAGAGGCGGTGGGGAACAACAACTAAAGAAACAGAGTAGATCGAGAACGCGGAAGGCTGGAAGGCGATAAACTCACTGGTCACCACTCGCCGGAGCCCGGAGGTCGCCGGATCCACGCTGTGCCGCCGGATTTCTCCTCTGTCTCCAGTCCAGTGGGCGCCGTGGTGGCTCTTCGCGTCGGCGGGCAAGCGGCGGCGCTCGCTCCTCCCGCTGCTTCGTCGGCGCTCAGTGCTGCGCGAGTGCGGGTGCGGGAGACGGCGCAAAGGAGTCGCGACTCCGGGGCTAGGGTCGGGGCAAACTATCTTGGGGGTGGGCTGCCGTGCGGTCTGCCGCTTGCTGGGCTGGTTGGGCCGTATCCGTCTTGTAGATACGTATCGGCCCACGTAGTCCACCATAATAATTTAGAGATTCAATCACCCCAATTACTAAAGTCCATAATCCCAATTATAATAATCCAATGCAAAGTCTATGCTCAATCAGCGCGCATAACAGCTATGGGGTCACGTGTCCGGTTTGCCTAGTAGACGAGGGAGGAAAACCTTACTTTTGCAATAGTCGAGGCAGGAAACATGGAGTTTTTCCAAAATCGGACGCAAACGGTATTTGGGGCAATAGTTGAGGCAGGAAACATAGACTTTTTCCAAAATCCGACACAAACGGTATTAATGGACCAAAACCAAGAAACTCTACGTGGTTTAATATTAGTGTAAGATGTATACTTGGGCAATACTAGATCAAGGACTAATACGACATGGTATCACAATTTTGCAGAAGCATCACCGACAAATATGTAACGTCATTCACAAGTTGAAACTCTCCGTGGTCTAATATTAGTGTACGATACATACTTGGGCAACACTAGATCAAGGAAAAATATGAAATGATATCACAATTTTGCAGAAGCATCACAGAGAATAATAATGCAACATCATTCACAAGGTGTGTGAACTTCATCGCTAAGACAATAATAATGTACAGCATTCACAGTTGCATACGATCTCCGTGGCTCAGTCGGTCCCTCTAACTCTACACAAGGAACAAACGCCGTGGACAAAACTGGGGAAGTTACCAAAGGAGAAGGAAACTCAAGAATCTATGCACCCGACTTGATTCTATTTGCTGGAACTGTGCAGCCTTCCACCACCTCTGCAGATTTGCAATTACTCGGCAGCCACATTCAACTTTGCACACATTGCTGCAGTTGCTGCAGGTATCCGGTTATGTACACAAACCAACTGTAAAGGAGGAATCAACAATTGCTATGGGAAGGTTATCCCTATCACGCCATATACAAACCCCTGCCGGAGAATCCATCAGAGTTACTAATATTTCCTTTGATATTCTGATGCTAGTACATCTCTTGTCTCCTCAATGCTTTTTCTTCATCCGAAGTCCTCTCATCCTCGACGTGCTTCAACAATTCTCCATTTAATCTAGTTGTCAAGGAGGGAGATAATGGTGCATAAACGCCTACATAGTAGCAAAAGAGATGGTATGAAGGAAATTCGTATGAGAGCTATATGATTATTTCAATTAGAGAGGAGTAAAGGCCACACACTTCTTGATTGCGGGATCCTTTCATAATCCTTCGTCACAAGCAACAAAATGGTACCGGACAACACCACAACCAAACCACAAATTTCAGAAATGATGCTTCCAGGGCTTTGATCAGACCAATCCTACACAAATAATTAAACAGAATGACATCAGTTTACTGTTTTATCATATAATACTAGAGCTGAGGAATGCATAAAAAACAAATGCAACAATATGAAAATATCTGAAAGGGTCCAAAAGGTGCATGAGGGAGTAAATGGCAGAATGAAATAAGAAATAAATATATAAGCCAAGGGCAAAACAAAATTTACCTTGAACATTATGACGCTGGCAAGTATTGTAAGAGTTGTGAACATTACATAATATATTGGAGATACAATTGCTGTATTGAACGTGTCAAGCGCCTACAGAAAAAAAGCACTACTTACTCCATTAAACAGAACAGGAACCAATAGCATAATATTTGTGGTAACTCTAGTATAAACTAAAGCACTTCAGTGCATTGTTCTGAAAATATCATAATTAATTCTACCATATACATCTACAAAATTAAATGGCACTAGACAATATTCTGGAGTCACGGATAAGAGGTTGCCCAAATTTGATAAAAAAAATTAGGACATGAGCCACGGGGTAGAAACAAAATCAGGGACTAAACTTGGCTGCAAATGGGGTTTTGAATGCAATGCAAATCTATTCAAATAGGTCCACATCATCCAAGCTAGCATATGATAACCTAATCTTACTTTATTACTTTCCAACATATTTGGCTGAGTAAATTTAACAAAATTACCACATTCCCTGTCCTAACTATTACAAAACTACCACTTCTAGTGTCCATTTCATCGCTCCCTTCTCCCGTCCCGCGGTCGCCGCCACCGCCGCCCCAGGCCGGTCGGCCGCAGCCGGTCCTCTGCCCCGCTGCCTCCGCCTGCCCCTGCCATGTCGTGCCCGGTGCCCTTGGCGTTGCGGTCGCGATCCTCCCGTTCCCTTCCCCCGTGCCCACGCCGCCGGCTCCTCCCCCGCACTGGCCACCCGCCACCTGGCTCCGCGGGTCCGGCCTCGCCGTGCGCGCCGCCAGCTGCGGCAAGCGCTGGTGCGTCGGCCTTGCGGCTCCGGCGACAGAAGTGGCGGCAGCATCCATCCAAAGGGACCTGAACCCTCGCTGCAACCCATAGAAAAAACAGAGCACGGCCGCCGCGAAGGAATGGCGGCGTAGCTCAGCAAACCAAGGGAGCACCGTCACCGAGCAGCCCGGGGCGCCATGGAGCACAGTAAAGCCCACGAGAAGATACAGCTTCCTGCGTCGCAAGGTAATGGGTTCAAGATCGGAAACTCCATATAATCTGTAATTAAACTAGGGTTCCTGATAATCCAGAGTTAAAGCTTCAATTCTTTTAACAAAGAATGAATCCTTTGTCGATAGTTCAGGACATATGATTTCTATTCTTGCCTTCCTGCAGAAGGTTCCGCTTGCATAGCGACTATTTGTGTTTACTGATACTGAGAAAGCCTCAGGTACTCGATTGGGCATAAGCATGAGTTGTTCTTAATATCCTTTTTGCATATAGCCATGCAGGCTCAGTCATCGCCATGTTTCCGTCTCCTTTTGTTATCAATCTGTGAATTTAGATGTTTGTCTTCTATCATACTGTGCAATGTCCAAAAATTGGCAGCTCGCTCATTTTGCAAACTTATTAGCTTGGTGCAAATCTGAATAAAAAAATTATGGTAATCTGGGATACAGTAAAGAAGGATGCGTGCCATCGCAATATGCAGCATTTTCATCTGCCTTCTCAGCTGCCCTGTGTATTCTAATACTTGACAATGGAGGCATCAGAGGTCTGTATTCATCCCTTTGGCCTTTGCAGACTAAAATGTGTTTACATTTTGTGGTTCCTACTGTTAATGGTCTGATCAATGTTATAAAATAAGATTTTGTCTTACTGAACTTTGAAGCAATACACCCATAACCACGCAGAGGATGGATTGTAGCACTAATCAATACCAGAGGCAGCTGGAGTCTCGTTTGAAGTGCACACGCCATGATCTGTCATTCAGGTGTGTAGTGTCATCACTCATGCATACTAGGAATGTTTACAGGGTGTTCTACCTATTGCCCAAAAAGAATTTGGTTTTGCTAATGCTTACGCAGGAGTTGTTTGCAATATTCGTTGCAAGTCCTGTATAAAGCATGCTGTGTCAAAAGCTTCCAAAATATATGTATATAGTGTGTAATCAAAACATTTTGGTAAATCCACCTTATTGTGATCAACATCAGTTTGGTCTGTACCCAACTTCCTGTAGTTAGGTCTTTTCCTAAATCAGAAAAACATGAGAAAGAAAAAATAGCTTGAAGCGCAGTTTCCTTTATGTTCTTATTTTCAAGCTTATAAACTGAGAATTCAAGTGATTCGTCAGTTCAAGAAAAGTATCTTATTTATCAGTGTGCCCTAGATACAAATTTGGCTTTGTATAAGGTCTCAAGCAGAAGGCTGAATTATGACAACACTTCGATTTATATCTTTTTTTTTTTTTGGAGGAAACAATCTGATCAAATGACCACATAGAAGACATTAGTTTACAGCATCATGTAACATGATGGATGACCGTTTAAACAATAAGCTAATTATACTAATTGTCCTGAAAAGGCCTAATCTTATTTATCAACTTCAATTTGAATGTTTTTTAAGCAACACTTCCGTCAATTATAACCTAGAGCAGCTATTTTCCCGCATCCTCCAAACAAGTTTGAGATTTGAAGTCCACAATTTTAGTTACTTATCTGCTTCCTGTTTGCAGGTTCAAACACATGCCATGCACTTTTTCAGAATGCTATGGTTCAAACGAAGACTTTTAAGTAAAATAGCTACGTAGTACTTCTAATTAAGCAATATGATGGAAAAAAAATGGGCAGCCACAACCTCCCATTTGGCATGAAGTTCACAACACAAGCTCCCATTCTAAAATGTAAAACACAAGAAAATACAGTAGTTTTTTTTTTCAGTGATGGAATATTTGTCCAAAACTGTAAGCTTGTATTTAAGAAAGGTTATTCAATTGCATTGCTAGACTATATAAACCTGCTGACACTCGATGAGGGCTTCAGCAAGACGGCGGCCAGAGACACCAAGGACGAAAGAGGCGCTCGAGGTCAAATACTGGGCCTGCGCGGCAAGGCCGCGCAGCACTTTCTAGTCATAGAACTAAAACAACTTAAGGCCCCCTTCTCACGGACCTACCTTTTGCCTCTTGCCGTTTCCTGAGCACCCGGGCTCACTTATCAGAATCATACAGTGCAGAACAGACCGAGCCATTCTGTTCTGCACTATGTGACGCTGATGAGTGGGCCCAGGTGCTTAAAAAATTGGAGGAAAAATTGGTAGGTCTGTGAGGAAACCCATAGTGACAGTTTCGTGAAATAGGAACTAGAAGTGGTAGTTTTGTGATAACTAGGACATGAATGCGGTAGTTTTGTAAATTTTACTCTATTTGGATGTTGAAAAAGTGATAACAAGCAGATTAATATATATGCATGCATAGTAATGATTTGATGAGAATAGAACATGTGTCATGTGGGGCCGCGCCTACTCCAGAAGGCAATGCGCCAGAGACGCGCGCAGGAGCGCCGTAGGCGGGGTCATCATGCGGCAGGCGCGCGCGCTGGAAGAGGCAAGGCCAATCGCGGCCTTAGATTTAGGAGAGATTACCTCCTGGTAGTTAATGGCTATGAGCCTATTTAATCTTGTACTGAGGACAAAGATAATCAAGCCATAACAAATTTCCTATCTCCTAATCCCCTTCTTCAACAATAGGGCGCCAAGGGGTAAAATCTCGGTCCAACCCAACGGATTGAGGCTACGAACTACGTAGCCGAGGTCCGGCTACCCTTGACAACATGACACTTGTCAACATAACAAGCAATGATAAACCTAACCATAATTTGATCTCAATCATTTAAAAATCCAAACCCTTGAATGTAAAGTTAATCTCAGGTAAAAAAAGAAACAATAAGATCATGTCTACATGGAAATTCTTATGATCCATCCCGTTCTTAATTCTTACTAATTTGATCGATGCCCATATATTTCTTATAGTCATTTGGTCTTAAACTATTCCCAACTAATTTTCTTATTAACTTCCCTTTTGAATCCTTTAAAGATTACACGACTTACAAACACAGTACCTATTTTTGCTAATGCATTTGCAAAGGTTCAACTCCCAAACTGCATTCAGATAGTTCTTCTCTATCAACATACCATTTTCGCAGCTTAGAATGTAGAGTTATGTCATAGAACTACAGTTACTGAATGAAAGCAACGTGTAACAAGTTGAACAAACCTTGTTCAGATAATTCATCTGAGTCAGCACACAAGTAGCCACAACAAGCATAAAGAACCAAGTCTCTGGATATATTAATTGGTTTGTTCCCTCGAAAGTGAGCTTTAAGGATGTACCAAGAGCCTTAACACTCATAACCTGAATAATGAGAAAAAAGTTAGCACATTACCTAGCAAGAATAGATTAGAAAATATAATCAACTAAACATTTAGAGAACATATGAACCGTTAGCAGAAGTGACATTACCGAGAGAGAGCCCATCAAAGAGCAAATGGCAGTGTAGATCAACACATTGGACTGCCCATAGAGAGGGGAGAAATAGAACACCAGGACAAAAACAATCACAATAACTGACGCAACATATAGCAAGAAAGCTGCAAGAGAAAGTACCAATATATCTCATCAGCCACAATATCTCACTTCCTACAAATCACGAGCTAGCAACTGTACAAGACGGAATCACACCGATGATAGTCCTTACCAGGTTGTGTCGCCATGTTCCATATTTCCCTAACTGAAGTAATCTCCTGCTCCTGTGGAGCGTGGATAACGATGACTACAGACCCTGCAACGCACATCACGCAGCCGAGCACCCCGAGGGCATGCAGCCTCTCATTCAGAATGAAATGAGCCAGCACTGCACTGAAGGGTGAAGACACCCTCAACGTTAAATTCTAGTTTGACTAAAAAGATTAATTGAACTGCCGAATTGCAAGGACAATGTTTTGAGCTAGCTGACCTAACAATTATGCTGAGCGCTCCAAGGGGAGTAACCAGCACAGCGGGGGCGAAAGCATATGCCACGAAATTGGCAATCTCACCTACAATCACTGATAGAGGAAAAAACCTTCGCTCAGAAATGCCTACTAGTCTCTAAACATCATGCCCAGTTCTCTACTGGAGTTGCACGAGGAAACCTTACTAGTGATCATGCCAATCCACCACAGGGGCTCCATGAGGTACGAGTACCCGCCGACACCTGCGCACATGCCATCATCATCAGAGTTCAGAAAACGCTTCAAACCGACCAAAGTCGACATATCTTTTGACCAGAAAACCGGCCAGCTCCAGGTACCACGGTCAATAGTATGAGAGGGACAGGAGGGAGCGACCTGCACGGACGCCGGAGGCAACAGCGGCCCGGCGGAGACCCTTCTTCTTGATAATGAAGCTGGCGCCGATGAAGCCGCTGGAGAGCAGCGCCAGGACTATCCCCTTCATGTTGTCCGTCGACAGCTCCGGCCCGGAGGCTCCTTCTCCGCCGCCGCCGCCGCCGCCCCCCATCCCTCCCTCACCGACGGCCGCTCCTCCAGAGCCCAGACGCCTCAGTCGCGGCCGAACGACCCTGATTCCCGGCGGGATTGATTGGGACGAATCAGCGCAGCACTCGATTGCTGCTTCTCCCTCCGATTTTTGGCTTATCGACCACCGAACCCGACGGGGAATGCGGCTTTATCACTGTTTGGCGAGGGATTTTGGTGGTTCACGGGAGGGAGAGGAGGGGGAGAGGTCGAGCTGATTGGGCTTCGAAGCTGTAGAGGAAAAGGGCGAGACGCCCGAGACGGGGAGGAAGGCGGCCAACCGCCAGGGAGGACGACGGACGGGGACGGGGACGGGCCAGCCCGCAAAGACACTGATTAGGCGTCATTTTCTCGCTGTACAGAAATTTCTTGAGAGAGGGGGGGTGTGCCCGCGTGGCTGGGCTGACGATGGGTGATTGGTGGGAGCTGACGCGTGGGACCCACCTTGCCACTTGTCACAGCTGGTTCCTGCCTGGATAATCTACCGTGTATTGCTTGATGAAGAAGGCTTTGAAGCTAGCAATGCAGTCGGTCTCTAATGGCTAAACGAACGAATAGACGATCGAAAACAGAACGAGTAAACACATTCCCCTGACACTGCTATTCCTATAACAACCTAAATAAAAAAAACTCCTTAAGCCAACGGAAGATAGACCCTTAAGCCAACGGAAGATAGACCGGTTGGTCGGCACTCCTGAGGTGCTGATTTGGATCCTCTCGGTGGCGAATTTCAGGTCTAAGGGTAAAAAAATCTAAAAATCCTCTCGTCTGTCCCGCGTCAAAGTATAGGTTTGTGGCCATCCCATCTCATGGGATTGCGGTGTGCCGTATATGGGTGGAGCTGGGTTCGGAGATTTTCTTGTTCTACGTGAGAAGATCTTCTTAATGAAATGTCCCACGTGAGAAGATCTTCTTCTTAATGAAATATCCGGTTGAAAGATCCTAATGGCTAGAGGGGGTGAATAGCATATTAAAAAATTTCTACAACAACACTTAACAAATCAATTAGACAATTATAAGGCGAGGCAAGTGTTGCGCTAGCCTACTAAAAATACAAGCCACCTACCATAATTCTAGTTTCTACAGTTTCTTTTCACACAATGGCTATGTCACTACACTGAGTTAGTGTGCTCTCAAAGACTAACTAAAGAGCCACACTAACCAAACTAACAAGCTCTCACAACTAACTACACTAAAGAGCTTGATAATTAGTTTGCAGTAATGTAAAGAGAGAGTAAGATGGTTATACCGCCGTATCGAAGAATGAACCAATCAATTACAAGAATCAATATCAATGAAGACCAATCACCTCGGAATCAAATGATGACACAATAATTTTTTACCGAGGTTCACTTGCTTGCCGGCAAGCTAGTCCTCGTTGTGGCATTTCACTCACTTGGAGGTTCACGCGCTAATTGGCATCACACGCCAACCCTCAATAGGGTGCCGCACAACCAACATAAGATGAGGATCACACAAGCCACGAGCAATTCACTATAGTACCTTTTGGCTCTCCGCCGGAAAAATGTCAAGAACCCCTCACAATCACCACTATCGAAGCCGGAGACAATCACCAACCTCCGCTCGACGATCCTCGCATTGCTCCAAGCTAATCTAGGTGGCGGCAACCACCAAGAGTAATATTAACTCCAGCAATTGAATGTTTTTTAACACCAAGTGCCTCTAGATGCAAACACTCAAGCAATGCACTTAGATTCACTCCCAATCTCACAAAGATGATGAATCAATGATGAAGATGAGTGGGAGGGCTTTGGCTAATGTCGCAGAACCGACCAATTTATAAGAATACAAGTACAATGGCAATCTTTTAAGTAAAATAGCGGTCGTAGACCATCATACTTGAACCCATATAAAACCGGTAGTCCGTCGAGTACCATGACGGGTCTCGATAAACGATTTACAACAACCAAGATCGTATGTGATTCAACATACATGCTACATATTACATAAAGTTCACAGATACTTTTCATCATCGAGTATGTCCAAAATAAAAGTTATTACAAACCGAGTTTGATAAATAAAGCGGAAGCAAATAAGTTCAAGATAAAGTTTCCAACATAGTTTGATACATTGCCAAGCTAGATCACGGTCCACAAAAGCAAGGATAGGAATTACTAAAGAAGCACGCCCAAGGCTTACTCCTCATCCACAGCGGGATAGAAGCAACTCTTGCAATAACCATGATACCTAAAGTGCCATACGCAACATTGGGAAAATAAACCACGAGTACGAGAAGGTACTTAGCTAGACTTACCCGTCATGAACCAGAAATAAAATGACTCCAAGGAGTATGCAAGGTTGTATAAGTGGACGTAACTTGGCAACATTTTTGCGTAAAAGCAATTAAATCATGAATACAGATTACTAATTCTTTACCAAGTTAATTATAACTATTCATTTCTAGGTTAGCAACTAGTGATAACAAGCAGATGCCAAACATGTGGTATCATTTAGAAGCATACAATAGTAACCATAGCGGTATTGTAATTCCATTTTCGTCCAGAACCATCATGTTCCATAACACAATTACTACGATGTTGGGACTAGCCAAGTTTCTCACTATATCCGGAGAGACGGCGATTCAATCGATTTCAACAGATTTGAATTTATTCCTAACACAAACCCAGTCTACCGACCCACGATAGCCTTAGGTCACCTTTGGTACAACTCCGGTACACATTTCGCGGGTCCGATCTGGCCGCACAATCTGGAATACCTTCGGGATGCTCAGCCAAGGGCGCCCTTGGGCTCGGTCCGATCGTTCCGGAAGGAGCTGAACAACGTAGGCGATTCCGGCTACCGAGTTGAATTACATCGGCTTCGCAACGGAACAAGTTATGATAAACCTAACCTAAGTGAGAGGCATGCGTTCAATCTTGTCGAAGCACCAACAACAATACGGTCCTTAATCGACATAGACGGGATAAATCCACACCCAAGACCTCCATGTCTTGTTGCTTCTCATCTGCTTCCCGATCGGTCTCGATTTACTTTTACCACATCATTTGGTTCCACGATAGCGAACTAATATAGCCAACCGTGTCCCTCGGTAATCACCTATATCTCGCGAGTGACAGACATCACCCGACTTCTACCGGTCTAAGCATGGCTAAGCATATATATTCGATCCTCGGACCTATACTGCATTCAGATAGTTGTGTAATATTTGGACAAGGAATGTACATGCATCAAGTGGTTTCATTCAACTCTTATAACCTAATGCATCAATCATAATTACGTAAGTAAACATTTGTAAATTCATGGGAGACTTATAATGCTCCGGGCTTGCCTCAAGCATAAAGGAAGTAGAGGCGATGGTCGGGGCACTTAAGCTCTTCAGGTTCTCGCTCCACGAAAGTGAGCGGCTCATGGATCCTCCCAAGGCCCTTCCTCTGCTTCTGAATTCCAGAAAACGTGATCTCTTTCTCCGATCCTAGATGCATGAGTATGGTATAAGTATTACTAATGCATATATGTTAACAAGTGCATCACGTTGTTTGAGTAGGTGCATATCTCTTCTCGATTATTACTTAACTACTTCTATAATGCATCGACTATGCCACAAACATAGCTACTTGTTTCGCTCATAACTGGAGTTCTACAAATCCAAATCCAATGATCCTGGACTTTCTGGAAAGCTTATCAAATTTTCTACAACTTTGTTATTAACCATTTTTACAGTACACATCAGTTTCAACATGCAAATCCTCACACTCTAGAATCAGTCCGGAAATGACTTAACATGCAACATAAAGTAAGAATACTTCTACTTCAGGTAATCATTCAAAATTTGACAACCTAGAACCTACCAATAGTTTAAGCATACCAAATACAGTTAAGATGATATAATGGTAAAGCCCAAACTATTTATTAAATTGCCTTTATTATTTTATAGATATCTAGGTTAAATAATAAATATATATCAGATGTGCTTAATAAATTCTCAAAAATTTACAGAGCCTTACTAATGCTATCAAAGGACTGCTATAAAAATTTCAGGTCATTTTACTAAGTAGAACATTCTATACAAAAATGACAAGGCAGCAAGGTTTGAAATAGCATAAATGGAAAATCCTATTGAAAAGTGTCAACAACAGATTTCATATTTTTCTTAGCATCCATATGGTACTAGGATTACCTCCAACAAATTTCATGAATTTTGGACTCATACTTAATTTATGAAAATTCATGCAAGGATTAACTAGTCATAAAAGGAAAATCTATAACTTTAAATCTACCCATGCACTGGTCCTCAAATTTTACCAGAGTTCACATGCTAAGATTAGTTCACCACAAAAATTTCATAATTTTTGGAGCACAGGAACTCTAGATATAAAATAAACAATTTTGAATGCATTCAAAAGCACATTTCAAATCCCTATTTAAATCTCCAGAAATTTCTACTGTTGAACCCAAGAACATATTTTTATTAAATACTACATGAAGCCCTAAGGAACACAACCATATTTATTTCACAAATTTAGGAGCTACCAAACTGAAGATACAAAATTCACAAAATAAATCAAAAGCCTGGATTCAAAATGAGTTAGCCTTCCGACGGCCGTCCTCCAGAGGTGGGACCCGCTGGTCGGGGACCCCACGCGTCAGGGGACACGGAGGGATTGGTTGGGGCGAATCTTGGGCAGCTCGATTGCGGCTTCTCGGCTCGTCGATTTTGGCTTATCGACCACCGAGGTCATCATGGTATGACCTATCACTGTTTGGCGAGCGAATTTTGGTGAGCCACTTGGCGGCCCTATTGCCGACCCTAGATTGGGCTTCGACGGCCATGTAGAGGAAAATGGCGAACGGAGACGGGGTGGACCACGGCCAAACGCCCGGGTGGGCTACGGACGGGGCGGGAAGGTCAAGCTTGGACGAAGCGATACTACCTAATTACAAACTCAACGCGCTAGCTAACGCTGAGAGAGGTGGGCGGTGGCGCTGGCTGGGCTGACGATGTGGATTTCATGGGGATGCTGGCGCGAGGGACCCACGCTTGCACTTGTCACTTACCTGGTTCCTGCCTGGTGGTAACCTGGTAGTGCGGTGAGACTCGGTGATGTCGATGGAGAAGGCTTTGCGGTGGCGAATGGCTCTAATGGAGCGAGCGAACGTAATGGCGACGACGGGTGCTCAGAACGCAGTAAACACATTATGGGCAAGAAGGAGGCCGATAACAACCGAAAATGGAAAAAACTCCTGGGCAAGCCGGAGATAGGGTTAAGCCAACGGAAGCCAGAGCCGTCGTGGCTCGGCACTCCTGGTGCTGATTTGGATCTTGGTGGCGACGAATTTCGTCGCCGGGGACACGCGGGCGGCAATGTTCTCGTCTGCATCGGCCATCGTACACATTCGCGATTCGGGATTGATTCGACGAGCGGTAGCGGCGATGATGTCGACAAATGTGTTTTCCAATCGATTTAATCGCTAAACCGTGGCTCCAACTCGTAAACCGTCCTTAAAAAAAATCCTAGCCCTATGTACCCGGCTTCAACTTTCCTCAAGGATCATGCTCCAATTCAATTAAAAATGGAGTAAACATCATGATCAAGTCAGTTAGACTTGTCGACGGTCAATGAACCTAGACTTAGAAAAATTGCTTAAGTGTTGAAATCAAGATTTTGCTGGTTTTTGTGGGACCCATTCAAGCATGTTAGAAGCTAAATCAGTCCATGCCCCAAAAATCAAAATTGTTACTTATGTCAAACACTACAACTTTGCTTTAGTGAACTCCTCCATGCAAGGTCTCTAACACCTAGTTCAACTTTAGTCAAACATGTCACTTTGAAATCATGATACATACACAACCCATGGCTAAATGACTAAACTAGCCTTAGCACTAAATACCAAAGTTGTTCCTAATGATATCCTAAGCATGTTTAAACAATTTGCAAGGTCATTTAAGCATTTCATGTAGTAGTCACTCATATAGCTATCCAGGTCAACACATGAAATATCACTTAAGTGCTTGATCATGAAATGTGGCCTTCATGAACAAGGTTCCTTTTTGTTAACCTAAGTGTATCTAAGGTGTTTTAGTGACCAACATTACCCACTTGCATTCATTTGCACATGATCATATGCATATGTTCCAAGAAACACGGAATAACAAGCAATGTTTCATATGTTTCGATCAAATGTTTCAATTGTAAATGATGGTTTATGAATGCTTGATGCTCATGCTCATGTTATGCAAGTCAAGTTATGCAAGGCTAACACCCCGAGGTGTTACAGCTAAGCTCACAAGGTTGCTATATCAATGCAAATAGCCAAGAGAGTGAGCTAGAGCCGGCCATGGGGCTTAAATAGAAGCCCCCACGAAATAGGGCCGTTGTACCCCTTCACTGGGCACTGCTCGGGGTGACCGGACGCTCCGGTCAGATCGACCGGACGCCCCTGCCAGCGTCCGGTCAACAGATGGCTGACACGTCATCCCTCTCTTCAAATACTGAGCGCCGATCCCAACGGTCAAGTGATGACCGGATGCAACACAGTGCCACGACCGGACGCGGGACCTCAGCGTCCGGTCACTTCTAGTAAGGTTCCAGCTGTGACCGGACGCGTTAGTTGGATCACGACCGGACGCAGGACCCCAGCGTCCGGTCACTTCCAGTAAGCCTCAACTCGCGACCGGACGTGTCCGGTCATGCCCAACCGGACTCACCCAGCGTCCGGTCACTCATTATCTCCTCTGTGCGTTGCCACGTCAGCAGGATCGGACGCACCCCGCCAGTGTCCGGTCATGAAGTGACCTAGCGTCTGGTCGAAGACCGACGCCAGCGTCTTCACTGCTTTCATTGACCGAACGCTCCGGTCCAGTTGAGACCAGCGTCATGTGCACTATGTGAAACCCTGTCTTTTCTGTACAGGGCGTCGGTGGCACCGTCGGACTGTCCGCACTTTACGGGCGGACACTCCGCAGGTGAAGTTTCTTACCCTTGCTCCTAAGTGCTAAACACAATGTGTATCACCTTTGTGCATGTGTGTTAACATATTTTCACAAATATTTTCAAGGGTGTTAGCACACTACTAGATCCTAAATGCATATGCAATGAGTTAGAGAATCTAGTGGCACTTTGATAACCGCATTTCGATACGAGTTCCACCCCTCTTAATAGTAAGATATCGATCCTAAATATGATCACACTCTCTAAGTGTCTCGATCACTAAACCAAAAAAGCTCCTATCAATTTTACCTTTGCCTTGAGCTTTTTGTTTTTCTTTCCTCTTTTCCAAGTCAAGCATATGGTCATCACCATGCCATCACCATCATCATCATGTCATGATCTTCATTTACTTCACCACTTGGAATGTGCCACCTATCTCATAATCACTTTGATAAACTAGGTTAGCACTTAAGGTTTCATCAATTTACCAAAACCAAACTAGAGCTTTCACCGGTGGGACGTCGTGGATCGAGTTTTTTTAAAGAGCAGAAAAATCCTTCTTGCATAAAGCAACCCGAAAAAAAAGAGTAACTCCTTCAAAGAAAATAAGAAGGGCATGTTGAAATGCTTGTATATAAAACAAGAAAACATTATAGCTACTTACAATAATTAAGCGCTAATGTAGATGCATACCATAGTCTTTTTGTAAGGAAGAAAGACGAGATTTGTTCGAAAGCCAGTAGTTCATGTCACTCTGCGTCAGAAGTCCTTATATATTAATTATTCCTCTAGCATAGTGCTAGAGCAACCATAAGTTTGTTCGCATTGGAAATAGCGATCATAACACAAACATGGACACTAAGATCATCTAAAAGAAGAGAATATCCAAAAGGGTAACAAAGATCTTTGTAAATATGCTCCATCCCTCCCGTAAAACTTGAGCTTGAAGTTGTGGCCTGCCTCTATGTATTCCTTTTAGCATCTTAATCCTTAATCAACATGGATCACCTTCGATAAGAATAAGTACAAGGCAATTTACGTTGAGCAATAATTTTATTCTAAAAATCCTAAGACATCAAATATTTTGGGATACAGAGATTAGTTCAGGGTAGAAGGGTATCAAGTATCTTTTTTTTTGTTGACTCGGTAGCAACAGCAAAATTACGTTTATATTTAAAATGTATCAATATTTATCATATTAAATAAGTATCATTATTACTCGCAAAAAAATAAGTATCATTATTAGACTTACATAAATGAAATATATTTTTTAACGGATTTGCTATATTTTGTGTGCCTAAACTTTCATACAATGGTCATAAACAATCAACTAGCACAAATCATAAACAACCAACTAGTACAATTAAAAGGATAACTCACAAAAGATAATTTAGATTTTTTTATGTAGCCATGACAATTAACTATTGTCTAAACCATAACAAAAATTAAACCTCCTAAAATATAGGAGAGGTGATTTAATAATATACTTTATTTAGAGTCATAAATATTAACTCTGAATTTAAGATGGTTTAAATCAAACCTAAAATTGGGGAAAAATTATATGCATACTGTATCCACCGCTGCGTCATGCATACATGGCGTGGATGCCTGACACATGTCGGACTTCAACAATCCAACGCTAGCTAAGGAGCAGCGCTAAAAATAGCAATCAAGGGGGTGTTTAGTGATCTATCTGAAAAAAGAAGATTGCTAATCAAACTTAGACATGCATGGAGTACTAAATGTTGCGAAATCAAAAACTAACCATACTGGTGAGTTAACGTTTTGAGCCTAATTAGTCAACGTTTGAACAATTATTACCAAGTGCAAACGAAATGTTACAGTAGCTACTGTGGCTACAGTAACTTTGCCGCCGCCGAATTCAGGCCGAACTAAACGAGGGCCAAGCTCGTTCACGCGGCCACGCCCATCCGCTGTATGACAGCATGCACCATGAAGGTCAACACGTGTCAGCTATCCATGCATGTATGCATGGCGCAAATGTGGATACATTTTCCATAGAATTTTTTCCCTAAAATTGCGTTCTTTCTTGATGAAGATAATTTAACAATCAATTTAGCAAGGCTCGTCTCGAAGAATCGGAGGGGTTGGTACGGAGCCACGGCCCACGGGGGCCCATCGTAAGTGTTCAACAGTTAACACGACTTGAAATTGAAGCGGCAGAACAGAACCAAAACATGCCGTTCTGTGTCTCGATAGGAAAACACATTGCCCAAGCACTTCTATATATGACGACAATGGCTAGCATTCTACGATCGCATCTCCAAGATACAAAAGGCTAAAACGAACAGTCACCCACAGGCCACAGTCAGGATCTCTGCTGCAGTGAACTGAAACTTTTCTACCCAGTCAACTGACGATCTATCATTGCCGTAGCATGTCTCGTAGTTGAAGAACCTGTTGCCGTTGTTCCGGAGGCAACATGTTAATCTGCTCAGGGGACATGCCCAGGACTTGCTGGACTAGCATCTTTTCCATCTCAGGTGTCAGCTGCTCGAGCAACATAACCAGAGTTAAGTACACTAACAGGAGAAAACATAAGTTCAAAAAAAAAAAAAACAGGAGAAAACATAGGAAGGTAATGGTAATACAGACAATTGTTTTTTTAACGAAAAATACAGACAATTGTTGTTCCCAAATACTAACAGAAGACACTTACAGGTGCTTGGCCTGCCTGGATACCACCAATTCCTTGGGCCATTTGTCCGGGCAACCCAGGTAATTGTCCAGGGAAATGAGAGCCAGAAGTGGGAGCTTCTGGGGCCCGTCCCCAGGGAGCTGACCTATCAACTCCCATTGGAGTCGTACCCTGTGTATTGTAGTGTGAACTAGCCTGCTGAGCAGATAGATTACAAGGGTTATGCACTGAGCCATGGTCACCAAATCACATGAAAGACTGAACTACTCATAGAGTACAACAGCAAGACTATCTTTGCAATAAGTTGCATGTGCTTCATTTGGACCATATGTAATTGAAGCTTGTTGAACTTTTCTCCTTTTCCCTTTTTTGAAAGAAAACATTAACACCATGTTCGTGGAGATATATGTGCACAAATGGTTGACATCTTCCAAGAACAGTGATCTCAGTTCTATACACCAGCCACAAAATTTCTAAACATCTTAGGTGATACTATAGTGCTGACTAAACAACCAAGAAAGTAAACAGATATCTAGCAGTCTAGCATTTGTTTCAGAACCTTTATTTCTTAGGACAATGAAAAGGAGACTGGAAGAACATTTATTTCACGAGCATTGAAGAATTGTCAAGTGTGTACGTACATTCCTTCAGAAAGATGGTAAGGGGACAACAAGATTTATTTTGAGCAACACAGAGACACATGTACAGGTGATATTGCAACACAACAGCTTATGAGTATATGACACAAAACCATAGTTTTTGCTCCTTCACCCATCTCGGTGCAACACAGGGGGAAACTACAGTTCTTCTGTTATTTGGCCCTCCCCCTGCACCTTGAGCTTGAAAGCACCAGTATAGTGTCAAGGTCAATGGCAAAGGATTATTGGCCTTAATGATGTGGGTCATAACTATAAAAAAAGGGCGTACCCAGTGCAAAGAGCCCTTTTTTTATAGTTATGACCCACATCATTAAGGCCAATAATCCTTTACCATTGACCTTGACACTATACTGGTGCTTTCATCACCATTCTTCATCATCACATACAAGTTTGCAATGTTAATGTTTTGATACTTAGCAACAGCATTCCAGTAAAACCTGCTCATGCCTTTCTATCAACACTATGCTCTCCAAGAATCCAACCCTTGCCCTTTTTCTTAATGCAGAACATGTGATCAAATTGAGATCACCCAAGAGAAACAATCAGGTCAACCAACTTTAAATGGAAAAGGAAATCCTTGTCCATCTTTATTTTACTAAGGGTTCTACCATCAATATCAGTAACAAGTCCCATTCATTAATGAGGAGAAGCCAAGAGAGCTTTTCTTCGGTTTGCATCTAGATGAGTACAAGAAGCAAAAGTACCTAGTGTTTTGTGAAATTTGCTAGTTTTTTTTTTTAGAATTTTTCATGTACTTGTGGTATTTTTCATGTTCCTGGGGCACAAGAACTATGGTGCTTTATCATGATTGGAAGTTGTCAAAACATGAAAAGGACCAATCGTATAAAAGTTGAGATTGTACAGTATAAGTTTGTTGTATTCCCTTAGGAATAGAGTAGTGTCATGGGCCTAAGAACAATGGCAAAACTTGAACTTTATATGCACCAATAATCAGGGAAGAAAAGCCAGATGATACTTAGAACAAGGAAACGTCAGTAGAACCTAGCTAAGCAAATATGTAGCTCATTTTCATAACAATAATCGCTCTACAGGTCCATATGGATGCCAATTTGATTAGGTAAAAATAATCCGAAGAACATTTCAAGCATATGCTACTAAATACTGAGAATTTAAAAATGGTCAGCACATATAACTAGATAAATATGTTAGAACTTCGGACCCAACATGAAACTTGGCCAGGGTTCTTCTAAACCAAGAACTCTTGTGATGATAACAATAAAGAATGTGATCACTTCATTGCACTTCCTAAATGTAACTTTTCCCAACAATCTTGAATCTTCATCAAACACAAATGCAATTGGGAAGATACTCATATTAACTTCTTTGGAAAGGTAAATACAGCAACTCCAATGCAACATAATGATATATTTCAGAAGACAACAAATTGTACCTGATACAGCTGCTGTGGTGGTGGCTGGCTAGGCAATGGTGGTTGGCCAGGAAGGAAATTAGTTTGAGGATTCGCACCTGGCTGTGAAATTCCAAACATCATCTATCAGTATGAGCATGGTATCCAGTTATCAGGATCATATGGATTCAGCATAGAATCTTACATGAAACATCGGTTGTTGTAACATGTGCTGCGGAGCATTTGCATGAGTCAACCCAAATGAATTTGGTACTTGTGGATGCATCTGATGAGCAAAGGACTGCATAGATAGTGGCCTAGACATTTGGGGCAAAGGTGGTTGCAACTGTTGATTATATATTGCAGGACTTTGCAAAGGTTGCTGTGGCTGACTATGAACTATAGGTATATGTGATGGAAGATTGGAATACTGTGGAGGAGCATGAGGCAGGGCCATATTTGGATGTTGAGATGGCTGAGGAGCTGATGAAGGCATCTGATGGATAGGGTAGCCTTTTGGTTGTGTTGGTTGTGGCGGGTTTGCTGAAATAGTAGGAATGTCCATGGTCGATCCCACATTAGACAAGCCAGATGGAAACGGGGCAGAAAGTTGAGCAACACTCTGCTGGTTAGCAGGTAATGGGGGTGGAGGCAAGCTGACATGATCTGGTGCAGTAGTTTTGACTGAGGGAGGTGCTGTTGGCACTGCTGTGGGTGGGACCATGTCTGAAGATTGTGCCTGTAGGACAGAGGGCATGCAACAGTAAAATTCAATTGCTGATTAGCAGGCCAGATATTAATGTTAAGAGAAGTTCAAGAACTTAGTTTACATACAGTTTTTGGTGTTTTCACCATTCCAAGGACCACTTGCGCCTGCAAAAAGAAAGTCATATATGTTTCTAATTATTGAAATGCATATAGAAATTCAAACCCAGTTAAAGAAGTAAACAGATTTGCTGTTAGACATCAAGACATATTGTGCCAGGACAACAATAGTATAGACAGGTTTTAGAACAAGAATATTTCTAAATAAACAGTTGGAGAACAATAGCAAAGTAGAACAAGTAGTGACTTTAACGTTAATAGAACTTGCTGGCTAACATTAGTACATAAAACACATTTATCTTCATCCAAGCTTTTCTCAGGTAAACAACTACTCCCTTCGTTCCAAATTATAGTTCACTTTGGCTGTCTTAAGTCAAACTTCTCTAACTTCGACCTAAGTTTCTAGATATCATCTGCAAGTTTAAATAAATGCACGACCAAAACACATTTCACGAGAATTTAACGAAACTAATTTGATATTGTATATATCGATGCATTTTTCTATGAACTTGGTCAAAGTTAGAAAAGTTTGACTTAAGACAAATCTAAAGTGAAATATAATTTGGAAGGAAGGGACTAGATGTGAACGCATTGTTGTCATGCTAGTATGCTACCAAGTGATTCATAAAATAATTTATTTATCAATTTCAAAACTCAAATACAAAGCTAACAATCACTACAAAAGTCTCTTTTGAATGGTGTAAAGAGCAACCAACATTTTTTCACTACAGAGGTTCATGAATTCCTTTTTTTTTTAAGTTATCATGGACCAGACCCAATTGGAAGAACAGAGAACACAAAACCTAATGTCGCCTGGCAAGTATAGCCACATTTCTACAAGTAAATGAACCTGACTACTTCCAAATTAACCAAACACCACTGCACAACCCACAAAACCCTAAAGCCCGGTAGATATCTAGATTCCACGAGCGGGTGAAGCCGAGGCATCTAATTTAAGAAACGCAAAATAAACTGAGCTCACACAGCAGTAAATCTCACCCGAAAGAGCGCCCGGGTGACGTCCGGGTTGTCGACGAGCATGCGGCGCACCGTCTCCTGGTCGTGGTCGATCATGGTCTGCGAGGGGCAAGCGCCGCATATATAGCATAAAAACATCAGTAAACGGTGAGCAAATCGGTGAACAAACGGGGGATGGAGAGAGAGAGAGGAACAGGGCTGCGGTAGGGTTTGGGGATTTGGGTAGGCGTGGGGAGGGCGCACCTTCATCTTGGACATCATGTCGTACATCTCGGAGCGGGACATGCCATTGATTTGGGCCGCAAGGGCTTCGCCCGCCGCCGCCTGCTTCGACGCCATGGAGGTGGGAGCGGGGGAGCGGCCGGAGATGACGCAGGGGATAGGGCGGACAACGGGGAGGCGGGGCGAGCTAGGCCGTTGTCGAGCTGCGAGCCTGGGCTGGGTCTCAGGAGCCGTGCTCGATCCGGGCCGTTTGGTATGGCTCCTGGACCAGTTCCAGGAGCACTTCGGCAGCTCCACCAGCCCAAACGGGAGAAAATGGATAGGCTCCGGAGCCGAAAAAACGAGCTTCTCCCAGCTCCGCCCAGTTGCCGTGGGCCCCGCGCAGGGCGATGGGCGTTTTTGCCCCGACCGGGCGCGCGAGGCCGCCGCCGCCGCGCGGGCACGAGGTCGCCGGAGCTCTGCGCGCGAGGCCGTCGGGGGCGGGCGGCGCGGGTCCATCGGACGCCGGGCTGCCGGGCGGAGGCACAACGCTGTGGGCGGAGGAGCGCGGGGAGAGGTGCGGGACGGAGGGCGCGGGGAGAGGTGCAGGCTGGGCTGCCGGGCAGAGGCACAGCGCTGTGGGCGGAGGAGCGCGGGGAGAGGTGCGGGACGGAGGACGCGTGGAGGAGGGAGCTAGCGTGGGGAAGGACGCGGCGCCGCCGGTGGACCGTGGCCGGGAGCGGTCCCAGGCGCCGGCGGCGGCGGCGGCGGGATGGGAGCGCGGCCTCCAGAGGTTGAAGACGCGAGCAGACGCGTGCGGCCGTGCGGTTGCAAAGTGAGCGACCGGATAAGGTATAGGGAAAGAAAGAAAAAAAAGTAAAGAGGAAAGAAAATGAATAAGACTATTATGGAGATTTCACCATTTCTAAATTACCAGAAGAAGCTGTTTTATCAAACGATCCCAAAAATAGTTTTAGCTTCCTAGATGAATCTGCTCCACAAGTAAAGCCACAACTAAAGCTGTTTTAGCTGGAGCGGGAGCTCTACTAAACAGGCCCATATAACTTGGGAGTTGTAAGAACTAAAAATGGCTCGAATTAATTTAATTTGACTTAGTACTATATTTTTGAAAATTTATTGTACAAGGATCTTCAAAAGTTGTGCTGTTACAGACAAGTAAATTGAACCCAGGAGATACCCCTCCGTTCAGAATTATGGTTTACTTTGATTTTCTCCTAAGTCAAACGTTTTCTTAATATCTAGAATATTAAATTAGTTTAATTGGATTCTCCATGAAATATTGAAATATGTGTTTGATTGAGCATTTGTGTGGACTTATAAACAATGATATATTTTTTCTTAAACTTAATCACATTTTGATAAATTTAACATGGAGACAGATAAAATAAGCTAGTATAGTTTAAAACGGTTGGAGTACGTGTCACGCTCAAATTCAATGCAAATACACGAGTATAGTTATATTTGGGACATAAACTTATATCTATGCGTACAAGCATACTCTCTTCATCCCAAATATATGCATCTGTTTTGAGAGATCAAATGTTTTTTAATTTGCCCAAGTATATATATAAAAAAGTATTATATTTATGAAGTGTAATAAATATTATTAGACTGATAGTAGAATTTTTTTTGATAAAATATTTGAAAATATAAATATTAAATTATTTTTTATATACTTAGGGCATGCTTTGTTCGCGACCAAAATTTGTCATACCAAATATTTGACAACCAAAAGTTGGGTAAATAAAGTTATCAAAGATTTGGCAAGCCAAATGTGAGAAGTTGACAAGTTTTGTTAGTCAACCAAATACTAGCTAAAATCATGGCTTGTCAAATCATTGGCTTGGCAAATTTTGGTCGCGAACCAAATAGACTTTTAGTTAAACTTAAAATGTTACTCTTTGGGAAACGAGACTTGTATTTATATTTTTTTTTAAAAAGGTGAAACACACCGCCAGCCTATCACACAACACAATGTACTTCAGCAACCTCCAACTGAAATAGGCACGCATGTTCCTCCATGTTGATGCATCAGTGCATCACCAATACTTGTTTGTGATTCTATTTCTCTGTAATATATCTATTATCCACTCATAGGCCATACTTTGTCTCTTCTTCTCTTAGATCTTGTTTGGATACATTCGCATCCACCTCAATCCATATGTGATAGAATGGATTGTAGTAGAATTTAAACTCTTTTTCACCTCAATCCATATGGATTAAAGTGGATACACAAGTGAATACACAAGTATCAAGCAAGCCCTTAGTGTCTCCACAAGGACAAAAGTATCCAATCAAGCCCTTAATGTCTCCACAAGACAGATATAGGTTAATTTATATGTGCCTTCACATATTGCTGGAATTTTAATTTTTCTGTACATTTAGCGTATGAACATCAATTTTATTTCCACTTTTTACAAGACAAGAGTCCTTCAATCCCACTTTGTATAGCATAGAATAAATTCTTTCGTAGAGACATCGTGATCAAGCGTCAAAGACACGCTGTTTTTTTATTATCAGCTATTTCAAATTTCAAAGATACCAGCCACTAAAGTTGCTAAGAGATGTATTTAGCACTAACGTGATGACAGTAGGAAGAATTGCTAAAGCTCAAATGGATTCCACGGACACCAGCTGAACTTTGAAGTGCCAGAAATTAGATGTATTTCACATGATTTCTCATGGAAATCCAGCATTATGTGATCACTGTTACATGTTGACAAAATACAAAAGCCCTTCGAATCTATAAATCCGAGAAAACTAGCTGATACTAAACCAAATAATCAAACAAAATATTGACGGGAGATGCCACGGTCGCCCATTGAACAATCACTTTTCTGTTTTCCGCATGAAGCACGTTCTGACAGCTCCATCAAAAACATTTGAATCGCATGGTCTCAACTCTCAGCATTGACCATTCAACCATGTTCTTACTACTTACTAGAATGCCTTTGACAAAAGGACACAACCTAAACTGCCAAAACTAAGAATATCCCTACACAGCAGCCAACAATTTGACTACGGACAAGTATTGTTGGCTGATTTGTTGTGAGAGAAAAATAATATTCGTTGGCTGAAAAGTACGGCTTATAAGCCAAGCAAACTGAGACGCAAAGAACAAAAGGTTCCATATGCTCTTCTTTTGGAAACATGATGACTAGGATTCACAGATCAATCAGTGCACTATCCTTCAAGGATCCATCACCGTCGCCATATGTGTCCAAGTTTGCTCTGTTCCTGCATACGCCTGTGAGATGAGAAGATTAATGTCGTCAGACTAACAATCCTGATCATCTGTATACCTTACCAAAATATTAAATGCACCATGCAGATAAATTCCAGAAAGCCTATTGTAGCTTAAATCAATAAGATAAAAGCGCACAAAGGTTGGCTACTTTTGGCTTGCAGCGAGTGGTTTTGTTTCTCAAAGCATGCTACAACATTTCTGTAAAGAGGGGACTCATATGGTGTTTGCAAAATCCAAACTAACTAAAATGATCAGGACTCCAGACCTGTTCATTTGTCACATGGTCTGGTTCAGATCCAAGCTTAAATATGCCTACTGGTGGTCAAAATATACTCAAAGGCCAGACCTATAGACTTTGTATTTTGATATTTTCAGGTATTGGTGAAACCAGACATATAAATTTGAAGACCAGTCAAGCACAACTAATTCCTTAATTGCAAGGTGATAATTCAGCACAAAGTTTTAATGTCAAGCCTATCCACACGAGGAATTTGGTGGGAGATTATTAAGGATAAGGACTTACAACATCTTTTTTTAATATAATTAGAACCACTTACATTTAAGAATTACAACATAGTTCAATATTAGAGACACTATTCCTTTTAGAAGCATTGATGCAAAAGAAGCAAAATATGTTATGTCATATTGTAGCACAAATTAGCGATTCATTCATAGACTGCATCACCACCAAACTATTATAACTTCATAGCAAATTGCACAGATTCAATAGCATGAACATTCACATGATGTCTTGCAACGGGAACTCGGCATAACCATGTTCGCTTACCGCTGGTGTTCCTTTGAATGCTCGATGAACTCAGCAGCAACATCATGACCTTGATAGGATGCCAGCACTGTCCTAATGTCAGAAGGTCTAGCCATGGCAACATCTGCAAATTGTGTTGGATTAATCAACGTTTAACCATGTTGATATTACAATATAAGAGATGGGTTAGAACACTCACACTCGAGAAATGGAATGAGATCCAGCAGTTGGGTATCATATTTATCTTCAAGTTTAAAAGGTTTGATTTGAACACAATTATCATGCTGCAAGTAAGATTCAAGAGCATGGGTGCTGAGATAGATAACTTGAGCAGGGTTTCTGTTCAACTTTGACAAATCCTGATAAAACATGAAAAATAGTAAGATTAAGAGGAAACACACAAAAAAAGGTGGAAATGGACAGTCAAGCATATCTGCAGATTAGATACAGGATCAGTCTAAAAAACATGTCATACTCGAACCAAAATGTTTAACAATAGCAAGTATATCAATCACAAAGGCATGATTGTACATCTACAATAGAAAGTACTATAAACTCTATGTTTGTTTAGATGCTTCCTCAATATTTAGATGCTTCCTCAAGTACATGCTCCTGATAGTTGGTTATCTTTTACAAAGATGATATAATGCTGACGTGCTAATAATAAAAATAAAAATAAAAATAAAAATAAAAATAAAGGTGTAAAGGATGACAATATTCAGGAAAAAATGTATAGAATAACGTCAATGAATGCATCCTAATTCCTAATGCTGAGAAATTAGGTAAATCCTTACAATCTGCATACTCGATAATGTTTTCCATCCACGTACTTAGTGCTTGAACCGTGACTTGGGGCTCTTGGTGGGTTTTAACTCTAGCCTACCTTAACATGCTTTGCTGAAAGACTATGTTGTTGTTGTTGTTGTACTTAGTTGCAAGTCTTGATAACTTGTGTGAAATGGTACCCCTTGAGTTCAGCCTCTCAAACACAGGTTCAACATACTGCACAATAATAAAATATCTATAAAGGTTAGGCCATTACATAAGAGTTCAAATGCAAAGGAAAAGATCAACTAACCATAGGTGGTTGATCAGAATAAACAACTTCATATAATTTTGACATATGTTCCAGAAACGCATCAACTCCTGGCCTCTTAAAAGTTCTCCATCCTCTCTCACGCTTTACAGAAAAAGAGAGATAGGAAAGAACATCGTTAGCACATTCTTTGGATACACAAGGCGTGAGAAAATATCACAAGCATATTGTGTACATGCATAAACCTGGTCCACATGTATATGTGTAACTCATAAGTACTATAGTTTCTACTGATGTATACAAAATTAAACACTATATTTATATGCCTTGGCACTGAAACACTATACACCAAATGTTACTTGTACAAGAATATGATGGAGGACAACTGTTACAGGTAGTAGCACAAGGCATTGATTAAGCACAATGTAACCTAGTAAGCAGGACCTTGTCAGGTTATGTTAAACTGCACAGCCAATGCAACTTTTACATATTATATTAAAATCATCTATTATAGCCTATATCATATTAGACTATCTTCAACAATGAGAACCTAAACACAACACCCATTCTCCGATTTGGGTCATGCATAGAAAAAAGGGTCCGCACTCAAAATTTAGCTTCTCCAACAGCCAATGTAAATCACTCCCCGTCATCTCTGAGACACGGTAAAAAATCTCTCTCTCTCTCCCCTCTCACTCTCTCCCTCCCTCCCTCTTCCTCCGATCTCCTCCCTCCCTCCCTCTTCCTCCTCGGGTGCCGGACCTCGGTCTTGTGACGACGGCCGCCCTCATGGCCTCATGGGTGGCACGCCGGTGGCCCCCTCCCCCTCCGCCTCCTTCCTCCCTCTCTCTCTGCTCTCGACCTCCTCTCTCTCTGCCTCTCTCGGTCTCTCCCCTTGCCCTCTCTCTCTTCCTCACTCCTCGCCCCGAACGCCACCAATCCCCGCGCTGCGTGTGAGGTGACCTACCCCAGCACGTCGGCTGGCCGGCCAGCCCCCGGCAAGACGACAACGCCGACCTAGGGTTTCAGCGTCTCCATCGCTCGGCTGTCCCCGGATCGACCGGGGCCCGGCGTGGGTGATGTCATGCTTGCCGCCTCGCCGCGGTACCCACCGGTAGCGCCTCGAGGCGGACCTTGCTACGCCGGCGGCTCCCTGCCGTGAACCCACCTCACTGCGTCGGTGGCTCCCCGTCGCGATCCCGCCTCGCCGCGCCGGTGGCTCCCTGTCGCAAACCCGCCTCGCCGCGCCAGCCGCTCCTCGCCACCTCCTACGGGCCCAGCATGTCGACGGCGCAAGGATTTGGGTCGAGGAGAGAGACGACGGAAAGAGGACGCATATCTAGGTTCCCTCAATCCTTCTACCCAAAATAGGTGCTCCCTTTGCCTATTCTGTTGGATGGCATTTTTTCACTGTGTAGGACGCAAAATGGGTTTGGATAGCGATATGCATGGCTTGTTGGAGACAGTCTTACATAAGTAGTATGGAACACAAACTACACTCTAGCATTCAAAATGCCATCAGTCATGATCTCTTTCCTGTGGCAGGAATAATGGGCCTGCAATTTTACAATACAAAACTATTACAACAAACAAAACATTTGCAAATACAATACCAAGTGTTTGTCTTTCATATATCATACATCATATTTTGGATTCCAAGGTGGCACATATAATGAAATAAATAACATAACAGGATAGAAGCCACAATATACCTGCCAATCAGAGTAAACAAGAGTTTCATTCAGATCAAGAACTAGGGTGAAGACATGCTAATCTTGAGGAAGTAGATCTGGTAGAAGTTATCTGATGTGGGTTCAGTAAATCCCTAGAGTAGAAAATAATAAGAGTAATTACAAACACTTGCTAGATTATACATGTACAAAGGGATAAAAACCTTATAGTCTGTTACCAACTCTGACATGGTCTTCAATTATGCTCCTAATATCTAAGTACAGCTCTATAGCTCAAACAGGAACTGCGGCCCAAGATTGTACACCACTTAGTAAGGATAATAAGGTACTAAAGACAAAAACATAACCAACAAAGCTAAGCTGGAAACAAGTAGCAACTCAGCACAGAAAAAATGTTACAATTCAGATTATTAACCAGCATATGCATCTATCTTAACTAATGTTAAATCCATGAATGATTTACTACAAGGATTCATATATATTAATTTCCAACATACATGCATTGACCCAGTTCATAATTCAATAACATCAGAATCTGTTGTGCTTCCACTTAACAACTCAGTAATTCTTTAACTATTCCTAAAGTAATTTGCAAATTTGCATGAATTATTGATTATGCAAATCAAATAATTTAATAGCAATCAAAGGCATGGAGTATTAACAACCTAGCCCATGTTTAGTTCCCACCCCAAAACTTTACACCCTGTTACATCGAATGTTTGGATATATGTATGGAGTATTAAATATGGACTAAAAAATAACTAATTACACATATTGTGACTAATTTGCGAGACAAATCTTTTAAGCCTAATTAGTCCATGATTTGACAATAAAGTGCTACAGTACACACATGTGCTAATGGCGGATTAATTAGGCTTAATAAATTCGTCTCGCATTTTACTGACGGATTCTGTAATTTGTTTTTTTATTAGTATCCAAACACCATATACGACACCTTCATGTAACACCCGATGTGACACCCTAAGACTTTATACTTAGGAACTAAATAAGGCCTTAGTTAGGTTTTGGTTTTTAGCTCAGGGTTTAGGCGAAGGACACGGAGAAGACGGCGATCGCGATTCGCAAGAGAGAGAGAGAGAGTGGGGAGAGAGCCAGAGAGGGCTAGAGAGAGAGGCGAAAAGGGGTGGAGTCTACGCTTGCCTACTGGCTGCTGGGCCGCCAGAGAGGCGGAGGCTAGTTGGTTCCTTGCGGATCTGGGCAGATGATGGCCTGCGGGAGTGCAGGCTGCGGTACTGAGGATTGGGCCGCTTTTCAGGCAAAAAAAGTTCATTTCACATAATGTAGGCCTCATTTAATTCCCTTTAAAGTTTAGTCTCTATCCTATCGGATGTTTGATATATGCATGAAATATTAAATATAGACTAAAAATAACTAATTGCACAGATTGCGACTAATTTGCGAGACAAATTTTTTAAGCCTAATTAGCCCATGATTTGGCAAAGTAGTGCTACAGTAAATCTACAGTAAGAAAGGTTTGCATCTTATGTTTTTTGTTGTCAAAAGTTTTCAAATGAGTTTAGACATCAATTAGAATGTTTTGAGAATTTTCTAGTTTTTTAATATTTTCCCATTTTTACTATCATCAGAGTTTCGGTTATCACATTTCCTACAACGTGGTGTATACGACTTGGCTACCTAACGACGAATAGAAATATGGCAATGGAGCCTCAATTCCCCGTAGACTCGTAGAGAATTTCCCTACTAGGGAACCGGGATAGAGTCAATATAGCCTCACGAGGAATGAAAAGGAGAAAAATCAGTCCACATTGGATTTCGTGGGATCCTTGTCCCCGTTAACCGTGTACCCGCCCCGCGAAACACTCTTACTCTGAATTACACCCTTGGGCCTATTAAAATCCTACAAAAAAAAACTCAAGCACTTTTGTTATTAATTGCCAAAAACCCAAATCCAAATTTTAGGCCTAATGCATTCACTGTCACTCCAATTTGTAGCCCGGACTTCCGGTGCATACAAAATAGTAACAAATGTGCGCATTCTTTCTTGGTCGACAGCAGCGAGGGGTGTTCGAGCCTGCAGGAGAAAAAAGAGAATGGGAATGGGAAGGAGCGCAAGAGAGAGAAATTGTGCGGGGGGGGGGGGTGTTTGGATAGGATCGAGCGACTGAACGAGTGAAGTTGATTTTTTTAACGTACAGCTATGCTATTCCAGAGTTGCATTCTTTCTTGGTCACTGGCTTCACTCTAGAACTGCATTGTTTGACGAACGAATCGGAGGGCATAGAAAGTTGAGGATCTGTAAACTTCCTACTAGAAAGTTGCATTGCGTTGTGGGTCCTGTCTGGACATATAATTTTCTAGGCAAAGTTTAGTTTATCTCCATCTAAGTTTATATAGTAAGAAAGGTTAGTTTATGAAACAACTTGAAATTCAAATGACAAACACGGGATATATAATAAAGCCCCATTTGGCACGGTTCATCCAAAACGGCTTCACCAGTGAAGCCAAAGCCGGTGAAGCCAGAAAAAATGGCTTTTCTCGGCTTCTAGTTCATTTTAACCCTGGCTTACAAAACGGCTTTACGCTACAGTGCTTCGATTTGCGTAAAATAGATGAAGCCGAAGCCGGCATAAGCCGTGCCAAAGAGGCCCTAAGTATCCCAACCACTGTTCCCACGGAAATATCCCTGCGGATAGACACAAGCAAGTGGCTTTAACACGGGATAGTGATTGCTTATTCGTGTGTCCTCAGATTTCATCGGCACGAGTTCACCTTTTCATTCTTGGCTTGTGCGGGGGCAGATGCATTCATTGGCGCCATGATGACGCATCCAATATCTTATATCTGAGCGACGAATGGAATGCAATCGGCAGCCATGGACGACGAGGAAAGCCGGAAACACACAAACTTCTTCTTCGTGTTGAGCTGCACGGACTACTACTGCCGACGTCGTTGCAGCAGAGAGCGCGCGCGGCTTCTGCGAGAGATCTTTCGCGTGCGGTGCGGCCGGCCGTACGTGCGCGGGCGCGGCGCATGCATCGACTTCGCCTTTTCTTTTTTGAACTCGCGATCGTCGTCGTCAGCTACGAACCCCTAGCAAGTGGGCAGGCAACACCGGTCTCCCTCTTTTTCCCTTTTTTTTTTTTTATAAAGCTGCTCGACTTTAATTTGGCTTCTACTGCTGCTGGAATCAATCAGGAATAGATAATCGAGCTGTGCGTGCACCTGCGCCACGAGGCCACGCCGTCGCCGCGCAAAGCAAATCCGCTTCAGATGGCGAGAGCGTGCGAAAATATCGTGGGGAACCATGGAATTTCAGAGAGGCTATCATATCATTTGGGTAGCAGTAGCACAACGCGCATGGCGCGCGCATATGGTGTCCGCATCAACCGATATCCAGTCAAGTGAAAGGCAATG